GAGATTTATTTTTTGGATGAATAAGGAATGCCAAGAAATTCACAATGCATTACGTATTCGGTGTTTAAAACCATTTGCCTACTAATTTAATTCAATTTTTTAAGAGGAAATCACTACTCCCTCCATTCCAAAATAGATATCGTTAGAGGAAAACTCTTTTTTTTTTTCAAAATATATGTCATTTTTGTATTTCAAGGCATGTTTTGTCAATTTCTTCCAACATTACCCCTACATGGGAAATTGTAATTGTGTTTAAAGTAGAAGTATATTAGAACTAAATAATATTGGAAATAGGATTCCATTGAAAGTAAATGAGAGTAAATTAGTATTTTAACTAAGTATTTATTGTGTTCTTAAATTTTGTGCAACTCCCCCAACGACATCTATTTTGGAATGGAGGGAATATTAATTAAGGCATCAATCATTTGCTTACGTCCTCGCGAAGTCATGATACCTTTCAGGGCATGTTATCTCATGTTCTTGAAAAAATGCTTTGATGTTTTGAGATTAATTTAAAGCACTCATTTGAATAGAAACTACATAGTATAATTTTTTAGTTAACATTTCAGGCGGGGTGCTATAAATTGAGAAATAGTATATGCTCGAAATTGAAGATTTCATCAAGCCCTATGTATCTCATGTGATGCTAAGTGTAGTAATTATCTTGGGATTTCCCTCAACTTTGACCTCCTTCTCAAACTAAATAAACTATCTATCTTCATCTTATACGATATTCCCTCCATTTCAAAATAAGTGTCGTTTTAGCAAAATAGAGAAATTTCAAAATAAGTATCGTTCTCACATTTCAATGCACTTTTTGTCCAAAATTTCTAAAATTACCCTTGAAAGAATTAATACTATTGGTGGATATTTTTTTAGTGGGGTTGGTTGAGGATATTGAAGTAATTTTATTACTCTATTTAAAAGTTTCTTAAACTATGTACAAAGTGTAGAATGACACTTATTTTGGAATGGAGGGAGTAGTACATATTTCATTTTATGATTTTTTTAAATTTTATATATATACTTGAAATGAGACTGATAGAAACGACATTTTCGATCGATGTATCAATATAGTAAGTAGATCTACTATGTATATTTACTTAAATAACTCATTTATTTGTTGGTGGGTATATACTTCCAGATCAATCACCAGTTGCCCATTCATCATTCAATCACGAAAAAGTTTTTTTAAAAAAAGTGTCAAAAACATTACATAATGCACAGAAGAAAAAGTACGTGTATATATTGATGGTCATGTAAGATTTGGGGTAATGCTTTTTTCACAGTTTCAAACTCGATTTTACTTTCGAAACCTGTCTAGTAGGTTTGAAAAGGCTTTCAAGTCATATCGAAAAAATTGCCGGGGGAAAGGGGTGAATAATAAAGATGAACTATTGACGAGTTAGGGTTTTTCTTGGGTCGGTCTGCCATGCACGAGCAAATTTATCAAAGAGGAGGATCCCTTTGGCTGTGGTCCCAGGAAGTCATATTTCTTGTACAATCTAGTGAAGCCATTGCCCACATTTACACCTTGATTGAACTCTCTGAATGGTGATGTAAATTTCTCCCCCTTTCTATATTTGGTCGAACTCCATGTCAGAATGTTGTTTTGGTTTCATAAATAACTACCCCTTTCTACATGCAAAAAACTTATATTTCAAACTGAAACATATGAGAAATTAAAAACCATGGAGAAAAATTTGAAATTGGTTCAAAATTGAATTATTGATGAAAAATAGTTCAATAAAATGAATTATATATTAAAATAGGTTTTTTTAGTAGATAGGATATACATATATTTTGAAGGCACCATCGGAATCTATCACCTGTATTAATTAATACTACTAGCATTGTAATTTACTTTTGGATAGAGGCCTCATATGATCTTAGCCAAAACCACATGCAGAGCTACTTTGTGTCTTATCACAAGATTACGATTCGTCCACTATATCATTAATTTCTTCCTGAAAACCACCAATAAATTTACTAACTTAATTAGCATAAAGATGTAGAGACTTGATGCATCATGAATAAGGTCTTTAATTTGAGCCATGTGTATAGCATCCAATAGAAAATTATAACTAATTAAGATCTCGCCGGCCGGTTATCTCATATTGCAATGTGTCCATCGTCAGCAACCGTGACTAATCCACTTCTCTCATGTTAGGTACCTCGATAGGTGGAAAAGATAATTATTGAAATTTGATATGATTTTAAACTGTTTTAAAGGTGATGGACCAAAGCGGATTGAGACATCAAATCAAAGCATTATTCCATGAGAGACATCTACACTTTCGTTCCATTGAATTATGATTAGTACCATCACAATGTTGATATGAAGGTGGATCAACAGATCTATTTGAAATTTGAAACAAATTATAGTAGCCCAAATTTAATTGTAAAAAAAATCGTAAATTTTTGCATGCAATAATGAATAAGAGAGCAGAATAGTAGTACTGCTACAAGAATTTAGTGTGGATGGTACCTAGGGGGGTAGTACATCGGAAGGGGGGGGGGGGTGCTTAAATGAAATTGAAGAAGAGGTGGGTCGATGACATTAAAAAGAAGCCGGTGGCGTGAGTGAAGAAAAGGGGGAAGATATATATGTTTGTAGAAAGCGAGGTGATTTCAATGCTCATCCTTGAATTCTGCATTTAAGTGAATTCAAGATGATTTAATGAAGGCAGGTAGCCTGACTTCAAGTTGAATCATGAATGAATGAATTACTCGCCCCCCTCCCCTTTAATTATTTTTAGTACAGCAACTGATATGATAAAATTAAAATATTTCGATGATAAGGGATGCGGATAGAGTCGTATTATAAACACGATTTCATTCCATGCGGTAAACTATATAGTATTACAATCGCATTAGATAAAGAAATAGCTGAGGATGGCAAATAATCTGTCACGAAATTAGATATTTACCCCCTCCCTTAACTGATGAATGTATATGTAGATATTGTGAGGATGTTTCTTGATAAGTTGTTCGATTTTTGTCGATTCATCAAGTCGTTTCATGATTCAATTCGATTTAGATGTGACATAGAGGATCATCGGTTGACATTTTTGTCCGAAATTTGTAGTCTAAGATAAGGTGAGAGTTAAATCAGATGGTAAGTGTGAAAGAATATAATTAGGAGATTCTAGATTCAAATATTGACCAATTTAATATAGATGTTAAGAATTTGAGAGGATTGATCTTACAAATAATGTAATATTGTGTGATCAAGGAGAGTATTCAGGAACTCTATCCAAAATGCATTGTTGCAAAGGGGAAACAAAAGGAAATAAATACTATACAATTCTGATAGATTGAAATAACTTTCTGGGGTCATTCAATTGAATTCAATTCATGGAAGTTCAGTCGAACAGATTTGGTTCCTTTCAGAAAATAGTAGTACCTCCTACTACATAATTATGACACATCGCAGAGAGAGATAGATAGGGAAGAGGGGACATAAATTCATAGCTCATAAAATGGGTTGTTTTATATTTTTTATATTTGCTGATGAAACAGTTGTAAAGGATTTAATGGAGTCTTATTTTTTGTGATGATGATGATGAATGAATGAATTAATTGATCATGACACCATTGATAAGCATTTGCTCATGGGCCGCAGTTTAGATTTTAAATAATTGCACAAATGGTTTCCTTACACGATATATTGTTTGAGCGCTCACGCATTTGTTATTTTTAGCCTAATCTCTATTCGATCAAGTGTAAAAATGCTTTTTCAGTAACTAATGTCTCCAAGCATTGCTTTGTTTCATTTTAAAACCGTAATTAAAACCTTGTTTAAGGGTATCAAACTCAAAACCAGTGGATCCAACAAGCGTTGGCTATAAAATACTAGATTGATTTTTTTGGGACGAAATTGTATTAGTTTCCTTTTAAATGAGCCAATTCAGAAAGTTGGAAGTTATGATTTCCATTAAAGATCCTTCATAGGCAGGAGGAGGCGTTCAACACCCCCCTCCTTCATTTATTTGTTTTTCTTACTCAACTGTATACAGACTCTCTTATTTATTATGCTTTCTTCCCTTCTTCCACTTTAACGTCACCGCCTCTACAATCACAACTATACAATAAATCCATTGCTTGCTTGAATGTTTTGGCCTGTCTTCCTTATATCAATGCGGGTAAATTTCCTTCAGTCTACTACCTACATTCACTTATTTCCCATCACATATATACCATGCCATTTTATTTACAAGCATAAGAAGAAATCATTACGCATGTAGAACGGGGACACATAATTTAAGCATTGTTTAATTCTCTAGTCGAGATAACATGGTCGATAATTTTTTGTATTGATGAACTATAATACAGTAACTGGCGAGCATACTTTTAATTTTATTAATGAATCGCAAAAAGCAGGATTCAAAACTTCTGACCACAGAAAAAAAAGTAAAGTTTATTCGTTGCAATTCATTGGAATTAGCTAATCATGCGAATATGCATCTTTGATCATATTTATATATCACAAATAGCTTCTCGTCAATAAGATGATGTTAGTTTAATTTGAAGTACTATATGCTATCGTAATTGATTATAGCCATGCATTAATATACTTCACTTGATTATATCTATACCACAAAATCAATGGCTCATTATTTTTTGAAAAATACTATAGCATGGTCGAAATTTTCGTTCAACAACATATATGAATTGACCATACAATGTTTTATGTTTCCCCTGTCTGCATTAATTTAAATCGTTACTAAACTCATCCACTTGCATAATATGGTTAAGTTATATGACCATATGTTAATAAATAGGGAGGGTTTGAACTAATAACGCTAAAATGTGACATATGTACTACCGCATTTTTCTATAGTTACGCAATCAAGATCAGGTGACTTAATTAGGTGGTGTGTGCAAGCATGCAATTTGGCATCGCATTTGTAATGAGAAAACAACACATCTATTATATACTAGTGCTTATATTTGACCACAAATGGACCAAAAGAAGAAGAATTAGTTACAACTTTAAATTGACAATGAAAATAAAGAGAAGAAGATGAAGAAGAAAGAGCTAAGCTTTGATGATGCCACATAGAAATAATGGTAGTAATTGCGAAGCCAACTTTAATTATTCACTTGGAAAGCACGTCATGGGAGGGGTGAGATGGATGGCCCCTTTTTTTAGTTTTGACATTAAATTTTCTTTTGCCCTTTTGGATTCTCCATTATATAACACACCTCAAACTCTCCTCTTCTCACTATATTTATATATATAACCACCTCAAACAATTTCATAAAAGAAAAAACACCAATTCAACAACATTTTGGTGAACTTTCTTCTCTATAGTTCTAGTGATTCTTTCTATGCTTTGTTTATTATTCATACACTGAAATCAATAAAAATGGTTTCTTTTCACACCCCTCTTTCTCCAAAAAGAAAAATTGCACCAAGATTAGAAAACTTGCTCAAGAAGAGGAAATTGGGAGATCATGATGATCATGGTGATAATACTAATCAAGCTGCTGCTGCTGCTGATGATGATCAAAGTGTGATGATGATGAAATCATCAAAGGCTGATACAGAGCTACATCTTGAACCTCGTATTCCTCAAGAGTGGCAAAGATGCCTTGATATCAAGGTATGTAACATTCTTAATTCATACAAAATTTTGATGAAATCGCAATAGAAATTCATTTGTTCATACTGATCATGAGTATTTAACTTTCTTTTTTACTTTTTTTGCAGTCAGGACAGATATATTTTTACAATACTAGAACAAAACAGAGGATGTTAGACAACCCAGAATCGCAGCCGCAGCCTCCGACGCCGCCGAGACAAAATCACATGAGCCTAGACCTTGAACTTAATCTGCCATGCGGATCTTCATCAACATCATCATCAGCCAAAAATCAGGCTAATAATCCCTCAACTGATAACCATCATCATCATCAACACCAACAACAGCCAATCCTGATGGGTTCGGCGGCGGTGGCGAATAATAACAGCACCCCCGGAAAAAGGCTGACCCGGGCGCCGTCGTGGCTGACTTTCGAGGAAGGGGAGGAAGAAATGGTGGCGGCGGCTTGCCGGAAGTGTCATATGTTGGTGATGATGTGCAAGTCTTCGCCGTCTTGTCCCAACTGCAAATTCTTGCACCCTCCGGAGCTCAGTAATTCGCCTACTCTTTTGAAGAGGAGGCTAAGCCTTCTTTGTTAATTTTTTTTTTCTGATATTATAATATTGTAGTAGTATTTATAAATTGTTGCTATAATAATAATTATTATTGAAATCAGCAGGGGTTTTTGCATTTATCTTTATAATTATTATATGTTAAACCGCATATTTATTTTATGCATGTACTACTATTTTCATCTCCCAAAATGAGAACATATATTATCAAAAAATCGCTCAGATTTTAGATCGTCGCTTTGAAGAATAGGTGCTACATTACTTTAACGTGTAAGATGAACAAAATTTAGAGATATTACATTTATTCATTAACTAAGAAAAATTTATGGTGGTTTTAAATTTTTGTTGATTGGGAAGAACTTTGACCATTTTGCTCAATGAATTTAAAGTTGGTGTGGAAAAATGGAAATATGATTAGTCTTCGTGCAGTTGTAGTACAGTACTAGTAATTACTGTTAGGTTTTCAAAGTTATTAAATTATGAGAAAACGATGTGTTGCCTTTTCACGTGAAGAATTTGAAGTGCAAGATTTGGTTATACTAAAAAAAATTTTACTTCAAAATTTAGTGCCAGTATGGCCAGGCCAGCAGTTCATATTTCCAAATACATTTTTCAATTTTTATTTTTATACTTTTAAACCGAAAACAAATATGAGGTTCATATACGTATATGTCCTTAATTTCGATGATTGAATATAACAACACATTGTTGATCCATTTGATTCTCCTAAAATAAAGACATTCATGTTCTTTGAGCTACAAAATTATCATAAAAAAAAAAGACTCTTATATATTCCGTGACGTATTCAAATACTACATAGTTCTTATTTGGGAGCCAACGATTGTTTCCAAATGAGGTCAAAAATCATATTTGAATGAAAAATAAAACGAGTGTTTTAATTCACAAATTTAATTTAACACGGAACCCTTCAAAAGACTAATGTCATAAATAGCCGTTTATATGTCACCATTCCAGAATTCAATTCGATTTTTCTATGATGATAATCAATGTAAGCATTTTGGTTTTAGTATCTGCATTTGCCTTCAAATTATCGGCGTCATTTTCACCTGGGCCGGCTACAACCACCTCAGCCGCCCCACCGCCACTCCCCCAATCCATCGATCCATTTCCATCAAAAAGAAAAGAAAAAAAAGACGATCGATCAAACAGTATAATTAATTACCTCATGATCAGAAGAAAAAGCCTCATGATCATCAGTTTGGCTAAAAGTTGAAAAAAAAAAACTTGAAAGGGTTCACAAGCATTTTCTGATTCCTATCATCCTATATGCTCCCATCACAAATGAGGTCACCATTTTTTTTTTTTCAATATAAGCTGCATTAAATTGTAGTAGTTCAACAATATGAGATATAAATCGCTCAAGAATTAATTGAAACTCGGAATGATAAAGCCAAAATAGTTGAGGGGAGTAGAGGATATATATATATATATATATATATATATATAAATTTTGGTTGTGTCCTGTGACATTGTCCTTGATGTTATTAATAGGGTTTGTATATTGAGTCTACGAATATTAGGGCATGGGAATGGAATGGGGTAGGTCAAACCTTCCCACTTGTGTGTAATTAGAAAATTATTACTCTCTCATGGGCAAGGTTGCTAAATCCGAAGGAGACCAATTTTGGTTGAATTGACCAAATATATATGTATCAAAATTTAAGAAGATCGATCAAAATTCTTGGATTGACCAAGCGGAAAATTAAATATAAAATCGTCTAATATCACAATATAATCAAGTATGAGTTGAACTAAGATGACTCTACGAACTAGATCTCTCGATCTCTTCCATGTCAAACTGTCGACTATATTTACAATACACATGCAATATTATACTTCCTCCGGTTCTTATTATAAGATCTTTTGATTTTTGTCATATGTTTTATCTAGAACATATTTCTAATTGGAAGAAAAATTTTAAAAATATATTTTTACATTCGTTGTGTTTTTCTAATTATTATGAAATAGATTTCAGGTTTTAATTTCAGTTGAAACGACATGTTAAGTGAAACTTAGTACAAATAAAAATGCCTTATAATAAGATTCGGAGAGAGTACAACACTGCTCATGAGAAATTTTCAAAGTTTGGCTCATGATGGCTAGATATTTGATTAATGTCGAGCACTCAAGCGGTTACATTATATAGCATTAATTAATATTTACAATTTTTATTATTTTGAAAACTTTGTACTTTTTTCATCTGACTAGCGTTTTAAGAATCAAAATATATTTATATTGATTGAAGTGTGTTGCTTGTTTCGTCACTCTATTTTTTTAATGTTATTAATTTTTTATGAAGAGAAATTTGGTCAAACTGATACAATATATCAAATTGATTCCGCTGAATATAAAATTTCATTGTCTCTAAGCCAAAAAAGCATACTCCTGAGTCCAGAAGACAAATATGTTTTCAATAAAAGTGTGTATAGCCAATGCTTTTCCCAGACTCTGATGCTTGGAATCATAAATACAAAACTTATGGCTGTGTGACCGAACGAACCTACGCAAAAGCCAATGCTTTTCCCATGCATGGAATTCAAAGGGAATTCCTTTTGTTTCTTGCACGAAAAAACTACACTAAAAAAGTTCATCAAAGCAATTCAGTTGCCAGCGTAGAAAAGAAACGCACCCTTCTGTTGTGTTAACTATAAATGTACAAACTGCGATTGTTTCTTAATTCATAAGTAGCGCTAGATAACGAGTTTCCAAGTTCACAAAAGGATCCTTTAGTAAAGTTCATAAGTTGATACCAAATCTCATGTCATCGATTGCAAATTGTAAAAGTAATACTCCCTCTGTCCCAAAATTATTGTCCAATTTGAGATTTTATTTTTAGTACAATTTGAACTAGAAATGAAAACTCAAACTGGACAATAATTATGGGACGGAGGGAGTAATTGATAAATGAAATTGAGTCAAAATAATTTATAACAAACGACCATATTTGATCTAGAGGAAATATGTTAGAATAGGAGTACGTTAGAATAGGAAACTCACTGACATTTTTAGTATTGGAGTATTATCTTCTTTTTTTTTTTTTGCCAAGCTATTGATTGTACCATTTTGAGTACGTACATGCCCTTTTGCAATCCAACCCTAGTAGTATGAAAGTTGCATTTACGTGCACTAGTTAATTAACTAGTCCAATCTTTCAACGGGGGAAAAAAAAAAATCCAGAGATTAAAAAGGGATAACCTACGTACCTGGAAAACAAACATTCGTATTTCCACCTTCGATGAACAAAACTCTCCGACGATGCCGATGAAGAAATCGGAAACCTGTGTTGAATGCGCCCCTCCATTTGTGGTGTGCCACTTCCGAAAGAGGTATTCTGGTGTTGCCTTAAGGAACAGTTTTATATGATCAATTTTTAGACACATGCATCAACAAACTAAAATCTAACATGCATATCACTTGTGACCTAACGAAAATTCTTCAATTTAGCTAACTTGATTTCTTGAGGAAATACCTTTCATTTTAATCATTCGGCCGTTTACTTATTTCTACTACGTAATCCACCAACTAATTTGTCAAATGATTAGTAAGTTCTTGGTCTTCTTTTGCCATTATGAATTTAAAATAACATGAGGTGGTGTGTGTATGTTGTTTATATGCGTGTTTAGGCAAAAATGGGAACTTAATAACGCAATGATAATTCTCCATAAAGTTTAGGCTGGCAGCATATATAGCGTCGCGTACTCAATTCCCTTTGTCCATCATATTTTTATCTTATTTATACACATAAGACAAAAACAAATTATAGTACTCCTGATTTGTTAATCAAACTTCAAAACCAAGCAAAATACTACGTCAAAAAGATGAGCATACTACATATTCCCTCCCATCCTTATTATGATGCATCTTAATTTATTCTAAATTTTACTCAGTATTTTTTTCGATGAAAAAAAAACCCTTAAAAATATTTTTTTATTTTCATTGTATTCTCCTAATCATCAAGAAATGTTTTTAAGATTTTTTTCTCAAATTTTAAAAATATATTAGGTAAAATATAGTACAAATCGAAATTGTTTATAATAAGGACCGAAGGTAGTGTATTGCAATGTTTTCCGGGACGCTATTGATAGCGCGGCACCGACTATGAAATTGTAACCACCGAGTAACATGACATTTCTCCCGCCTAGGGCGACTAGGATGACGCGACCAGAGGGCTGCAAGTTGCAGTTAACTGGCAATGAAACCCGAGGATGTGATGCTGTAAAGATTAATTTGACTGTGGCGTATAATACCTAATCAACGTTAGTTTTTTTTAACTTTATTAAGTATAGACAGGAAGGATTTTTCGAGGAATAGATGCATTGTTGTCACGCCTCCTACATGTTTAAGGATCCTTTATATTAATATATACGTAATATACCATTACTGGTATATTTGTAAAGAATTTAAGAAGGCACATACTTTTTCTTCTGAACCTGTACTTTCAATATCCTATAATCCAAGAGAAAAAAAAATCCACCTGATGCAAGGCACTACGCAGGTGACAATCACCATGGATGTAGACATGTAGTAATCTTATTATCGTCCCTCAATCCGGAACCAAAGTATCAGACCCAACTCAATTTGTTTTTTTTTTAGAGACGAATCAATACGACAAAGGCTGAATCTTAGAAGGTTGTGATAGTAAGGTCATTATGGCTCTTACAATACCTCTGTCGTGTATTTAACTTCACGTTGTTAGTTTTAGTTACTAACCTATTTCAGGAAATGATTTAGGAGTACATTTGTTTCCGTTTCATTATATGACATGTGATTTAGGAGTACATTTTTTTCCGTTAGTATCATTATCTGACATATATATTTTAATATTGGGTAATAAGGATTAGAAGCAAGACACATTATTTTCTGAAAAAGCTAAAATAAAAAGAACCAATCCCCATTGGATAATTGTCATGATCCTTCCACATCCATATATTTTTTTATCGAAACAAATTAAAACTCATTATCATAGGAGCACTATCTAAAACATGATAATAAATATTTATATATCATTATTCTTTATTATTTTCTTATTTTAACCCTCCTCCTAATAAAAATCCCGTCATAATAATTTTTTATTACTATTTTTTTTTTCATACCAATTAGGGTAATCTATATAATTTTAATAAAAATAAATTTGATCCGTTCTTACATGACGAAACGGGATATCGAGGAAGCTGGGTTCATGGGCTGTAATCGGGTCCATAAATACGGATGATTGGGCTTTAAGGAAGCCGCAGCCCGAAGTAGGAAATTTCCAGAACCACCGAAAGCGCAATTCACAAACATCCTCATTCAAAAAGGGGGCAAAAATCATCCAATCGACTCATTCTTCACCTTAAAAAAATCCCCAGCCCTAATCCAGCCAGAATCCCAATTTGCCTACACGCCGTATCTTCTCCCTCGCTATCACTCGAAGCTCAGAGCTCACAAGAATGTCGCACTTCGGAAGATCCGGCCCTCCGGACATCAGAGACACCTATTCTCTCCTCGTCCTCAACATCACCTTCCGTGAGTACTCTCTTTTTTGCCGCCTCAAGAATCGTTTTTTCTTTTTTTTTTTTCTTTTTTTTTTCCTTGTGTGTGTGTGTGTGTATGTGGAGATTTTGGATGGATTATTATTCGTCGTGGATGATGATATCTTTTTAATTGATAGTTTCGGTTTGTCTGGTTGTTTATTTACAGGTACTACCGCCGATGATTTGTTCCCGTTGTTCGATAAATATGGCAAAGTTGTGGATGTTTTCATCCCCCGCGACCGCAGGTGCTCCCCTTTTTTCTGATTTTACCGTGCTACGCTTTCCACTTGTGATATTCTTGTGTTTCAATTTGGTAGCTTTGCGCTCGTAATATGATTACTGGGCATATACAGAGCCACATGTTCAATTAGGGCGATAAATTTTGTTCAATTTCTGGTCGGTATTGAGTCGGCGTATATTTTACAAAATTAGAAATTTGAAATACTTGGAACAAAATCGAGCTTATTTGCACCGGTTTAGTTTCTTCTCAATTATTTCAAACTTTTTGTTTCTTGGATGAGTATTGCCCATGGTTTTCTTGGGTCTACTAGCTGTGTTTGAGGTGAGGTTCGCCTTTGTGTTGTGCCTGACTGTTGGTCTTCTGACTCCTTATGGTATCCGTGTTATCAGGACTGGTGATTCGAGAGGATTTGCTTTCGTTAGGTATAAGTACCAGGATGAGGCTCAGAAGGCTGTTGAAAAGCTTGATGGTGAGTCGTGAATCTTGGCTAAGTAAGCTTTTAACTATGGTTGCAATCAGGAGGTTGTTTATTGCAGCAAGCTTTTTACTAGCTTTAGCATGTAGGAGCCAATGCTCACACGCCAAAGTTTATACTGCTCTGTTGCTCTTGTTGGTCTAAATTTTCACTGTTTATTTGAATGCAGGAAAAGAAGTTGATGGAAGAGAGATAATGGTTCAGTTTGCCAAGTACGGGCCCAATGCTGAACGAATGTAAGTCTCTTCCTTTTTTGGTTGTTGCATGTGGATAGCTTATGCATATCAATAGGGCTTCAAAGTTCTTTTGTTGATATCTATATATGTTCTTCTGATTGTTCATGTATGGGTACATGGAATTTTGAATTATGTATTATTCTCCTGAGGTTTTATTACCTCGTTTTTCATGAATCATTTTGAATTTCATGATTTTTAATGAAGAACTTCAATGGTTTGTGGCAGTCATAAAGGAAAAATAATGGAGCCAGTGTACAAGACCAAAGGAAGGTCAAGAAGCCGAAGTCCCCGACCAAGGTAGTATTACTTCTCTTTTTTTGTGATTCTTGGATATAACTAGTTCTCCTGTTTGATGAATTTAAAGAGGCATATTGTTTGTGCTGGTATGTGATCTACATTTTGTTGTCATTCAATTGGTTTAATATTTTATGCTAGCTTGTTGACTGAATATTAGAGATTCTCGTATTGAATGTGATTATCAGCTTAAGCAAGGTGGTTGGATATCCAAGATTCACTTATTGAATCTGCTAATCTGTTGTGGTTTCAAGAGTTAATAATAAGAATGCTTTGAACCATAATTATTGATGGGATTTTATCTAGCTGTTTCCTATTTCTGTTTGTAACATGTTTAATAGGCCCAAGTCTGTCCTCGTTCACGTATTTTTTTTTTTTTTAAAGTTTACCTTTTACATTCCTTTTCTGTTTTCCTTTCAAGTTTTGGATCAAGTTATATGACGGGTTTGAAGGTTAAGTCTTGTTCTGTATCTTCAAAAATGTGGTTATGCATGACTGTGATGCCCACTGTCTGCACTATGTAGGTATAGGGATGAATACCGGGATCGGGATTACAGGAAGAGAAGCCGCAGCAGAAGTAGGGGAAGAGATCGTGATAGCCGTCGCGGCAGGGATAGAGATCGTCCCCGAAGCAGGAGCCGCAGTGAGAGTCCTGATTACCGCAGAGAACGTAGAAGAGGCAGATATGATGATGATGAGAGGCGTAGTCGAAGCCGATCTTATGGCAGGTAATTTACTTTCCATTTTTTTATTTCTGCAGGTACTTCTGGAAATAGCTAGCTCCCTTATTGTTGTTTCATGATGTTGGTATATATGATAGTCCCTCACCTTCACGGCGTAGTCCCAGCCCCCGAAGGACTCCATCTCCTCGCAGGACCCCACCTTCCCGTGGGGTAAGCCCAGATGCTCCTAAGAACAGAGAACGTTCACCTACTCCCAAAAGTGTCTCACCACGTGGCAGGCGCGTTGATTCTCGCAGCCCATCTCCACGCTCTGATGCTGAAGTAAGTGTAAACTGTGTTTATGTAGGAGTCTATGGAAATTTAATTCTGTATTAATGACTAATGGTGCTTGTTCTGTTCTGTTTTTTTTTTTTTTTCAGGTGTAAGCAAGATGGATTGTGCCGAGACTTCAGCTTTACCAATCTAAAGGAGGATGTTCCTGATGATTCGTGTTATGAATGTGTAGATCTAGAACTTAATTGTCCGAACTTAATTTTGAGGTTTAGCTCTTTCCATTGTTGTACTTTAACTATCATTATGTCTCTGTTCTATTACTGTTTCTGTGGATTGGTAATATTTTCTGCAGTGGAGAGCATAACTTTGGTTTTACTTCGTTGTATCTTCTCAACATTCATCTATTGTTGTTTCAGTTTAAGAAGTCTTGTTTGGCACTTGTGCTGAACTGAAAATAGTCTTGCTTGGTACTGCATGCTTGCAATGTTAAAACTTGTGCTGCATGATCTAGCTATAAGAGTGATGATGCTTGATGTCTTCCTAATACCACAACAATGTTAATAAATTCTGAAAGGTTGAGACGGTACTAAATAATACTGAATTTAGAGTGCATCTCGCTTGAAGTCAAAAGAATTATTCTGTTACTCATGATGGACCATCTATGGCCTTCTCTATAGTTGAGTTCGTGAAGAGTGAATGGAGTTGGCAAGATGATGCAGCAGGTGTTGATGCTGTTTTCACTTTGCTGTGGGTTGTTTTATGAATGTGGCTGATTGGCAAGATGATGCAGTCGCTGTTGATGCTGTTTTTCTTTGCTGTTGTTCGTTTTATGAATGTGGCTGATTGGTAAAGACGATGCCGCAGCTGTTGATGCTGTTTCTACTTTGCTGTTGGTGGTTTTTTGTCTGTTGCTGGTAAATTTTAAGTGTGTTTACCAAGGGCTGATTGGTAAGAATATTAATCCCAAATGTCTAATAGAGTCTTATTGGATTTGACTCAAGTCCTTGCTTGCTTGTGTTGATCTTTAAGCTTAAGAAGAAAGAATATTTGATTTGATTATGTAGAAGATGGTTGGTGGGACATGCATTTGGTAGCTGATGCAGTTCTTTCATGGACGAGGGCTGATGTTAATCTGCAACGCGTTTAACTTGAACGTAGTTTGCAACCATCCTTGCGGTAGTGTTTTCATGACTTTTGGAAGGTTGCTCAAGCATTTTTGTTTATGTTTCTGAATAAATTTGTTAATATATATTGAGAAGATATTTGGTGGAGCTTAAAAAAAAATTAAGCTTATTGCATATAGATAATCTATTGATCATCCGATATAAGTTATAACATACCCATCCTGGAACACACTGGATTAGTTTTACAGTTTGTTTCTGAACTTCTTGAACGTTTCGGCATATGGTGCATCTATGATTGTGGTAATTTCTGCGGTAGATTCTGTTCACTACTTGCTTATTCATTAAGGATTATGGGTGCTGCTCTTTTCCCCCCTCGTAACTTTGCTATCTCTATCTTTTCTATTAATATAACAAAATTATGGAAAGATGGAAGTATGGAACGGGGAGTGGGAAGAAGATGCCCGATTTGGAGGAGCGTTTCAGATAGGCTACTGATCTTGATGAGGGGAGTTGTCATCATGTGAATTGCCAGCATGTGGGAGACGGAACAATGCCTAATGGAAGAGATGTATCGATTTGTTTACTTTTGTTTGAATAGTGGCAATAGGAAGTGTGTTTCGTTTAATTTCATTTCATATCTGACCTTATTTGTTCTTAATGAAAGAACCGGTAGTTAAAGTAAGCTAAAGCAAGGTGAATGTGAAATCAGTGAAAGTATCTCGGTACACTACTGCTCTTCTTCATTGTGTTTGTAAAAAATTTAGTTTAAATTTTAAAATTCAACACGGATTATTATTTTTTTTTTGAAGATAGAGGGAGTTGGTCCTACGGATGGGATACTTTGGTTCACAATTTGTCACGTTTCATGTAATCGACTCTTGCCTAATTTCAAATTTCTCCAGATGAGTTGACCAAAATTGACGAGTTTCAGTCAAAATTAACCTTTTGAAAATGTAAAATTAGCGTTTTCAGTTACCTCCCTGGATTTTGTCGAAATCAGTGCGATGGTTGACGAACAGAAGACAGCAACGGTAAGTGTGTCACCATGTTTCCTTCATCTCCTGCACAAGAGGCACTTGCTCTTCTCGAATGAGAAGCCAGTATGCATAATCTGGGTAATCCCCTGTGAAGTTCCTAGTCTCTCCAGCTTTCAAATTCTCCTAATTCTGTAATATTTGTTCCTAGTCTCTCCAGCTTTCAAATTCTCCTAATTCTGTAATCTTTCCAAAGCCAGCCCTTGCAATTGGTATGGTGTTTCCTGCATTGATGGAAGTGTTAACTGGTTGAACCTCATTGAGTCAAACATCAATGGTAGTGGTACACTTTATACCTTCCCGTTTTTGTCGCTTCATACCTCCAGAGGTAGGTTGTTTTACAGCAAAATCAGTTGTTTGATGAAATCCCACATGAAATTGGCCTGTTAAAAAAATCTCGAAACAGTTAACCTCAATGACAACCAATTGAATGGCTCCAATACCTGAAGAGATATCACAATTAACTTTAATAATTGATCTACCTTTGTCTACAAACCATCTTGAAGGCTCCATTCCTGCTAATTTTGCCAATTTTGAGAAACTAGACGTACTTGTATCTCTTTGAGAATCAGCTCTCAGGTTCGACTCCTCTGGATTGGGAAACCTTCACAATCTGGTTGGTATTTTTATGGACAGAAACCAGTTTACTGGTCCAATTCCACCTTCTTCGGGTAAGTTAACTAGATTAGAAGCATTGTTTCCTTTCCTCAACAAACTCTCTGGTCCAATTCCACGTGAGTTAGGGAAAATAAAATCACTTCAGAGTCTGGGCTTATTTTGCAATAAGCTCACTGGTTTAATCCCGGCATGGTTTGGTAATCTCACCAATTTGAATCTGTTGCACCTCTATAGCAAGCAATTAAATGGTTCAATCTCCCAGGACCTTGGGAATCTGAAGCTTATGAGCGATCAACAGTTAGGAGAGAATCAGTTAACTGGTTCTATTCCTTGTACTTCTGGTAATAATCTGAGTAAGTTGGAGTTGTTATATTTGGGTGAAACAATCTCAACTCTTTTTGACCATTATAGCGTTACACGTTTTCTGTTTTCATGTTGGTTAACCCATCCTTGCTGGAAAACTCTGAATTACTTTTTACAGTGTATGTTTCTGAATTGCTTGTGTATTTGGTTCAATTGTTTTAGCTGCCAGGTTTGTGCCAATTTCGACTGATTGCACTTAATCTGCGGCAGATGTCATTCTGTTTGCTAACTGATTGCCTTGTCCACAGGAGATCACTCATTTTAACTACCTTTTTTAAGTTTTTGGTTTTACGAACAGGATTGTTCTGGTTAGAACTGCGATAGATGCTGATCTTTTTCTTGTGACTAATGGAGCTCTGTCATTTGTATATGATGATTGTATAAAAAAAGATATAAGGCGATGGTATGATGAATTGTTACAGATGAATTTATGAAACTTTTTTGGTTTTTCTTAATTTTCATTTCTACCGAAATTTTTTTGTTTTATCTCAATAAAGTAGATAATGAAGAATTTTGGTCGGAGAGTAATGATGCCAAACTTGGAAGATGGCTGAGGTTTTGAATCTTGTAATTAAGGAAACGGAAAAACCTCAGGCTTCAGATAGGCTACTGATCTTCATGAATCATGAGGGTACATATAAGAAAAGAGAGATGTTGTAAGATGTTGACAATTCTTCCTTGGAAAGCAGAAAGCACTAATTTGATTGAGTGGGTAGCAATAATTTGGATTGAATTAGGAGAAGTTTCTTCGTCTGGGTAAGTGTCCACCTTAGACTTCCATTCAACTTTAGCATGTTCCCCTGTTCAAGAAACTAGTTAGTCTTGGCTTGGAAAGGAATTCGTTCTTCTTTAACTGTCTTGTTAGTACAGCAAACAAGATCATATTAGGACGGATGGAGAGAGTGCTCGATTCACAATTGGCATCGTGCTTCCGGTAGTTATCATCACCTGATTTGAAAATTTTGCTGATGAGTTGCGACCAAAATTAATGATTTCAACCATTTGAAGATGTTTTATTTAGCCTTTCTTTTTTTCGGAATTTTATTTGGTTTAGCGCGATGTTATGCTCAATGGAAAACTGGTGTTCCAGTAAGCCTACTACCTCTCCATGACCCACCAAAACGGTTTATAATCTTTCATGGCCTACCGGAGGAAAATAATACTCCTTTCTTCCCAAAATAAACTACTAATATTTGTTGAATAAAAAACGTTACAACGGATGAGATTTTCTACTTTTTTTTTCTGGGACGGAGAGTACATGGTTTTCTTCATATGATCTTCATACCATGTTGTCGTCTTTGATTTTATTTTCCCATTGAGATTTGTCAATGTCAGCTCATGGTTGTTATTTGAGGTGTGAAACAGGACCCATAAACTTTTTTAGTGGGAAAGTTGAAGGCTGTGAGAAGGCTCAGCAATACAGCAACTATGAGGGTCTTAATCATTTCCGTTTTGACGCATCTTGATCTTGTCATTAGGGGGAAAAAAGATAAAGGATCAATAAAAAGGAGGGAAAATTTCCTCTTCATGACTTTTTATATGACTCGTACTCATTGGGTTGTTCTCAGTTCTCATCATCATTCAATTGAACATTCAAACATAGTTACATATGACCTCTTTTCTTTCCCAGGAAAAATGTGTCACCATGTTTCAGCGGGTTCTGATTTTGTTGGTGACATTAGTTTGCAGTCAGGTGGCTTCATATCCTGCACAAGAGGCTGCTGCTCTTCTCAAATGGAAAGCCACTATGCATAATCCGGATAATCCCCGGCTAAGTTCCTGGTCTCTCCCGCCTTCAAATGATTCCGATTTTGCTGTTCTTTCCAAAGCCAGCCCTTGCAATAATTGGAATTGTGTTTCCTGTGTTAATGGAAGTGTCAACAGGTTGAACCTAACTGAGTCAAACATCATTAGTACACTTTCCAGCTTCCCGTTTTTGTTGCTTCCTAATCTTGAGTATGTTGACTTTACCATAACTGAGTCAGACGCTTTTCATTTTAAGCACTTTTTTTTTGTCCTAAAATGAGTCCGGTGTGGATATTTATATGTAAAAAATTCAAGCAAGGGGGTCTTTTCAGTCAGAAATAAGGTATATGAAGAAGGAAAAAGTCCAAGGTCTCCAGGGATCCTTTTATTAATTTTTTGTTTAAGTTGGAACATAGAAGGTTGACCCTCTGAAAAACCTTCTGCAACTATGAGGGTCTTAATCATTTTCATTTCAAACCATCATGTCATTTTTGAAAAAAAAAAAAGAAAAAAGGATCAACAAAGAAGAAGATAACATTTCCTTTTCATGGTTTTTTTTTTTTTTTTTGTATATAGTAGTAGCATTCATTTGGGTTGTTCTTTCTGTTCATCATTGAGTTTTCACATTCAATAAAGAGTGCTTGATTATATGGCGGAAAAGTTTGCCACCACCATGTTTCATCTTCTGGTTCTAATTTTGTTGACATTATTTTGCTGTCAATTTCCTTCATCTTCTGCTCAAGAGGCAGCCGCTCTTCTCAAATGGAAATCCACTATGAAGAATCCAGAGAATCCCCTGTTAAGCTCTTGGTCTCTTCCCCCTGCAAATGCTTCCAATTCTGCTGATCTTTCGAGCCCTTGTAATTGGTATGGTGTTTCCTGCGTTAATGGAAGTGTTAACAGATTGAACCTCACAGAGTCAGAGATTGATGGTACACTTTCCAGCTTCCCTTTTTTGTCACTTCCTAATCTTGAGTATGTTGATTTTACCATAAATAATCTTTCTGGCACCATCCCTCCTCAGATAGGTAATCTCTCCAAGCTCAATTATCTTGATTTGCAGCAAAATAAGTTGTTTGGTGAAATCCCAACTGAGATTGGCTTGTTAAGAAACCTTGAAACACTTCACCTCAATGATAACCAGTTGAATGGTTCAATCCCTGAAGAGATAGGACAGATAACTTCACTGTTTGATTTAGCTTTGTCTTCAAACCTTCTTGAAAGCTCCATTCCTGCTTCATTTGCCAATTTTCAAAACTTGACTTACTTGTATCTCTTTGACAATCATCTCTCTGGTCCAATTCCTCCGGAATTGGGAAATTTTCACAATCTTGTTGAGATTTATATGGACGGAAACCAGTTTACAGGTCCAATCCCACCTTCTTTGGGTAACTTGACAAATTTAGAAACATTGTTTCTTTTCAACAATAACCTCTCTGGTCCCATTCCTCCTGAGTTAGGGAAACTAAAATCACTTGTTAGTCTGAGCTTATTTGGCAATCAGCTCACTGGGCCAATCCCGGAGTCGTTAGGTAATCTCACCAATTTGAATCTGTTGCACCTCTATAGCAACCAATTAAATGGTTCAATCCCCCAGGAACTTGGGAATCTGAAGCTTATGAATGATCTACAATTAGCAGGTAATCAGTTAACTGGTTCTATTCCCAGTACATTTGGTAATCTGAGTAACTTGGAGTATTTGTATTTGAGGGCAAACAAGCTTTCTGGTTCTTTCCCCGAAGAGCTTGGCAGGTTGTCAAATTTAGTTGCTTTGATCTTGGGTGAAAATCATTTATCGGGTAATTTACCCGATGAGGTATGCAATGGTGGAAAGCTTCAGAATATCACATTGCATGAAAACATGCTTACAGGTCCTCTTCCCAGGGACTTGAAGAATTGCTCTAGCTTACTTAGAGCCAAATTCAATGGGAATCAGTTTACTGGTTCTATTCCCCATACATTCTGAGTAATCTGGAGTATTTGTATCTGGATAAAAACAAGCTTTCTGGTTCTTTCCCCGAAGAGCTTGGCAGGTTGTCAAATTTAGTTGCTTTGAACTTGGGTGAAAATCATTTATCGGGTAATTTACCCGATGAGATATGCAATGGTGGAACACTCCAGAATATCACCGTAGAGGAAAACATGCTTAAAGGTCCTCTTCCCAGGGGATTGAAGAATTGCTCTAGTCTACTTAGGGGGAAATTCGGTGGGAATCAGTTTACTGGAAACCTGACAGAGATGCTAGGTTTTTATCCCGAATTGGACTACATGGACCTTAGCGACAACCAGTTCTTCGGTGAACTATCAAGCTTGGCGAAGCTGATGAGTGCAGAAAATAACATATCAGGTGCTTAGCTACATCAGCCTAATCTTTCTTCAATTCACATTGTTGGGGATAACCCTAAAGATTGGGAAGTTGATTTCCATGCTGAATTTATATTTCTGCGAGATAATCAAGTTTCTGGCAAAATCCCTGAAGAAGTACAATTGATGACACAACGTTCTTCCATAAAATCTCTGACCTTTAATGTGAATTCCTTTGAGTGATGCGATACCATAAAATTGTTAGGATATTAGGAAGCAAGCTGCTGTTGTTTTTTATCTTCCTTAGGTTGTTTTATCCAATGTGGTTGATTGGCACAGACACAATTTTGCAAAGAAATAGCCCACTTGTTTCTCGAGAAGAGACGGGAAACATGGTCAATATCATTTGATTGAATAGTTGACCCAGCCCCTTGTTGCTTGAAGAAACCCTCCACTTCAATTGGTATTTTTTCACGAAAAGCAGACATGAGATAAGAAATCCAATGCAGTAAGCTGTTGATGCTTTTTCTACTTTGGTGTTGGGGGGGTTTTTCCTTCCTTGTCAGGTGAACGTTTAAGTTTGACCAGCATTGCTTTCTTGCTGACTTGACCTTATAAATGTAATAATTTCCCAATCAAAAAATTGTAAAAACAAACGAATGTGATCTAATCCACATCATTGCTTCTCTATTTTTTTTTTAATTTTCTTTTTTTTTTGTAAATTATTCCGGGTATGTATTATTAATCTTTTATTATCTATGTATTGAACTGCATTAGTTTATTTAGTCAAGTGTTTGTAATGGCGATGGTGGTACGTTTTTTTCCCTTCCGATTTGCAGGGTTCATCTTGAATAATTTAATGAATTATCTCTCTCAATGAACTAACTATATCGATGGATAATTTCTGCTTTACTCTTTTAACTTCATGCTTAGTTCGAGTGCGACAATCTCAACTTTTTTTGTCCTTGCTGCGAGGGTATGTTTTCTTGTTTGTTAATCCCTATTTTACATTATCTCCATTTTAATTCAATAGGGACGTTTAGTCAAACACATAGATTAAAGAAAGTATTAATATAAGCAATGTCGTATTTAATTAGTAGTTATTAATATGATAAAATTAATAGTTAAAATTAATTAAATGTTCTAAATTTTAGTGATAAAAATGATAGTATATTAGAGAATTTATAGATAAATTTAAATTTAATATAAAAAATGAGACTAAGTTTCGAACGTTCCAAAAGAAAGTGTCTCCATTGAATTAAAATGAAGAAGTGCTATCCAAGCCTACTGTTTTAACTATGCCATCTACTTTTAGATTTTTTTTTTCTAATATAAAAATTACTTCGTCCGTCCTGAATTATTATCTAATTTGAATATTTATTTTTTAATATAAATTACTAAAAATACAAATCCTTATTTATGAACAGTGGAATACTTCCTAACTTAAAGATGAAAATACTAAACCCATTAAGCAACAACTTAGATAATCATAAAACACAGTTTTTCCCTTCAAACTTTTGTTACAATCTAAGCAATTCTGAAATAGAATTAAAAGGTTAATGTATCTGTTATCAAACGCTTTTCATTTTAAGCACTTTTTTTTTGGTCCTAAAATGAGTCCGGTGTGGATATTTATATGTAAAAAATTCAAGCAAGACAATCATGTTTAGATGGATAGAGCATCGAATGGAATTTACAATAAGCTCACGATAGAAATGATTCTAATTTCTTTTTGTTTTTTTTTTTTTTAAAAGGATTGTCTTAATTAAATTTTTAAGTCAACTCCTGCCTAACATTAATAATATCTATTTATTTATTAATTAATTTTAGAAGGAGTTGTTTGATTTCTGAGATCCTTATTAGTGAGACTTTAGAGTGGTATTTTCTTTTTGGGTTAATGGTTATTAAAATAGGTTAAAGCATACGGAACCTGAACTCAAATAAGAATGGTTTGTTTATTTTATTTAAACAAAACTTTTGGTAAAATTTCATGGAAATTGTTGTAAGACGATGATAATGCTTCGTTGGAAAGGCTGAAAGCACTAATATGAGTTTGTGGATAACAACAGCTTGGAATGAGCTAAGAGAAAATGACACCTTTTTTTACCTGGGTAAACGTCCAAGGTAGACTTCTGCTCATTTTGTTAGTGTGTTCCCCCTGTTCTCTATGACACTAGATTAGACTAATACTGCTTTAAAAAAACAAAAAAGACATTAGACCAATACTCACTTCATTTCAAAATGTAGGTCATTTTAAGTTTGGAGAGATTTTTCAAAATGTAAGTCGTTTTACAAATTCTACGCAAATTAATGATTATTTTTTCAATTTTACCCTCAATAAATGATGCTAATCTATTTTTATTTAGTCTTATTTATAGTTTCAATGTAATTAATGAGGAGTAAAAAAAATATTTAATGTATAAATTAATTGTTGGATGATTGTTTCCTTAATTTACGTGTCAAATTTAAAAAGACTTTCATTTTGAAATGGAGGGAGTATAATTTTTCTTAGTCCACATAGAAATTAATAGTCACAACGTGGCACGATGCTTCTGGTAATTGAACTCTAATACCGGACTTGAAACTTTTCCACGTGAACTGGGACCGAAATTATTGAATTTGACCCATCAGCCTAGCTAGTTATAAGTTCCAGAACTAATTCTATGGGATTCAGTGGGATGTTCAATGGTAAGCTGGAGTATGAATTGTGTTTCAGTAAAGAGGACCAACCTAACGGTTCATAATCTTCCACGGATTACTAGAGTAAATTATTACTCCTTTCGTCCCGAAAAAAAATTTGATTTTTCCCGATTCTAAAACGGTACAAGGAACGTAACATTTTCTCGGGACGGAAGAGTACATGGTTTTGTTCATATGATCTTACAGCCCCTACGTGGATGATGGATTTTATTCTCCAGTTGAGAATTGTCAATGTCACGTCATGGTTGTTATCACCTTATACGTGAGAAGTGTGAAAAGGGGGTCTTTTCAGTCAGAAATAAGGTACTATATGAAGAAGGAAAAAGTCCAAGGTCTCCAGGGATCCTTTTATTAATTTTTTTGTTTAAGTGGGAACATAGAAGGTTGACCCTCTGAAAAACCTTCTGCAACTATGAGGGTCTTAATCATTTTCATTTCAAACCATCATGTCATTTTTGAAAAAAGAAAAAAAGGATCAACAAAGAAGAAGATAACATTTCCTTCTCATGGTGTTTTTTTTTTTTTTGTTTTTGTATATAGTAGTAACATTCATTTGGGTTGTTCTTTCTGTTCATCATTGAGTTTTCACATTCAATAAAGAGTGATTGATTATATGGCTACTTTTTCTTCCCAGGAAAAGTTTGCCACCACCATGTTTCATCTTCTGGTTCTAATTTTGTTGACATTATTTTGCTGTCAATTTCCTTCATCTTCTGCTCAAGAGGCAGCCGCTCTTCTCAAATGGAAATCCACTATGAAGAATCAAGAGAATCCCCTGTTAAGCTCTTGGTCTCTTCCCCCTGCAAATGCTTCCAATTCTGCTGATCTTTCGAGCCCTTGTAATTGGTATGGTGTTTCCTGCGTTAATGGAAGTGTTAACAGATTGAACCTCACAGAGTCAGAGATTGATGGTACACTTTCCAGCTTCCCTTTTTTGTCACTTCCTAATCTTGAGTATGTTGATTTTACCATAAATAATCTTTCTGGCACCATCCCTCCTCAGATAGGTAATCTCTCCAAGCTCAATTATCTTGATTTGCAGCAAAATAAGTTGTTTGGTGAAATCCCAACTGAGATTGGCTTGTTAAGAAACCTTGAAACACTTCACCTCAATGATAACCAGTTGAATGGTTCAATCCCTGAAGAGATAGGACAGTTAACTTTACTGTTTGATTTAGCTTTGTCTTCAAACCTTCTTGAAAGCTCCATTCCTGCTTCATTTGCCAATTTTCAAAACTTGACTTACTTGTATCTCTTTGACAATCAGCTCTCTGGTCCAATTCCTCCGGAATTGGGAAATTTTCACAATCTTGTTGAGATTTATATGGACAGAAACCAGTTTACAGGTCTAATCCCACCTTCTTTGGGTAACTTGACAAATTTAGAAACATTGTTTCTTTTCAACAATAACCTCTCTGGTCCCATTCCTCCTGAGTTAGGGAAACTAAAATCACTTGTTAGTCTGAGCTTATTTGGCAATCAGCTCACTGGGCCAATCCCGGCGTCGTTAGGTAATCTCACCAATTTGAATCTGTTGCACCTCTATAGCAACCAATTAAATGGTTCAATCCCCCAGGAACTTGGGAATCTGAAGCTTATGAATGATCTGCAATTAGCAGGTAATCAGTTAACTGGTTCTATTCCCAGTACATTTGGTAATCTGAGTAACTTGGAGTATTTGTATTTGAGGGCAAACAATCTTTCTGGTCCTATCCCCAAAGAGCTTGGCAGTTTGTCAAATTTAGTTGCTTTTATCATGGCTGATAACCAGTTTTCGGGTAATTTACCTGATGGGATATGCAATGGTGGAAAGCTTCAGAATATCACATTGCATGGAAACATGCTTACAGGTCCTCTTCCCAGGGACTTGAAGAATTGCTCTAGCTTACTTAGAGCCCAATTCAATGGGAATCAGTTTACTGGAAACCTGTCAGAGATGCTCGGAGTTTATCCTAAATTGGACTTCATAGACCTTAGCAACAACCATTTCTATGGCGAACTATCCTCTGATTGGGGTAGATGTCAAAACTTGACCACCCTGAAGATTGCGGAAAATAACATCTCAGGTGCAATACCTGCTGATCTTGGAAATGTAACTCAGCTACAATTCCTTGATCTTTCTTCAAACCACATTGTTGGTGAGATTCCTAAAGAATTCGGGAACTTGACTTCTATGCTAAATCTGTATCTGCAAGGTAATCAGCTTTCTGGCAGAATCCCTGATGAACTAGGATCACTGACCCAAGTACTCTTCCTAGACCTTTCTGCGAATTCATTGAATGATTCAATACCAGAATCCTTAGGAAAGTGTCAGAAATTAGTCAGCTTGAACTTGAGCAACAATGCTTTGAGTCAAAATATACCTGATCAATTAGGCAAGCTAGTTCAACTTACCACACTAGATCTTAGTCACAATTTGCTTACAGGAAATATCCCATCTGAGTTTCGTAGTTTGCAGAGTCTGGAAACCTTAGAGCTTTCCCACAACAATCTCAGTGGAGAAATTCCAGATTTGGGGGGATTGCCTGGCTCATTGCATATTGACATCTCTTACAATGACTTTGAGGGTCCTGTTCCCACAGGCAAGCCCTTCACAAATGTTACCATACAGGAACTAGAGGGAAACAAAGGTTTGTGTGGGAACATAACTGGGTTACGACCCTGTGAAAGCCCTCCATTGGCGGGGAGCCGTGGAAGACACAAGGGCCGAAAACTTGTGCTAGCAATTGTACTACCTGTTGTGGGATCTCTTTTAATACTGTGTGCTCTTGTTGGGTTGTTTCTTTTGCATGAACGTAGAAAGAGGAGATTAAGAGATGAAAGTGGGGATGCAAGTCATGCTGGCGTTTTCTTTGTTGCTGGAGTTGATGGGAAAGAAATGTATAGGCAAATATTAAAGGCCACAGATGATTTTGATGCCAGATTTTGCATAGGAGAAGGAGGGTATGGAAGGGTTTATAAGGCAAAGCTTCCATCAGGCAACGTTGTTGCAGTGAAGAAGCTTCATCCCGTGTCCGAGATGACAGATCGCAATGATTTCCTGAGAGAAATAGAAGCCTTGACATACATTAAGCACCGGAACATTGTAAAGCTTTATGGTTTTTGCTCAAATGCCAAACACTCATTATTGGTTTATGAGTACCTTGAGAGAGGCAGTTTGGCAAGCATTTTCAGCAGAGAAGAGACAGCTAGGAAGTTGGACTGGCACACAAGAGTGAACATCATTAAGGGCGTTGCGTATGCCTTGTCGTACATGCATCATGACTGTTCGCCACCAATAGTTCATCGAGATATTACAACCAACAACATTCTGCTGGATTCTGATTTTGAAGCTCATGTTTCTGATTTCGGCACTGCTAAATTACTGAATAAGGACTCGTCCCATTGGAGCGCTCTAGCCGGCACTTATGGATACATTGCGCCAGGTATGATCATGTTTACAGTCATTATATCAATTAACAGGTCGATTTGCACAATAAGATTTAGTCTATCATAACATTTCTATTTTCCATTACAGAGTTTGCCTACACAATGGGAGTGACAGAAAAATGTGATGTGTATAGCTTTGGAATCTTGGTGCTAGAAATAATCAATGGGAGATATCCAGCTGAGTACATTTCGCGCGTAATGCGTCCTACACCAGAAAACATGCAACTCGCGGACTTGTTGGATGATCGGCTTCCTTACCCGAGTAAGGAAGTTGAAGAAGTTTTGAAATCAATCATCAAAGTTGCAAGCAAATGTGCTGTAGCAGATCCCGAATCTCGGCCAAGCATGTACATGGTTTCAGAGCTGTTAACAATGGCTGCTCCACCTGAGCAAAATTTTTGTGAGTTTATAATATAGGCATTTTGGGAAGGATTCAATTTGTTCCATTTCTTGCATCTTCTAAGTTACTACTTGTGCTCACCTAGTTTAATCTGGCTTCTTCCTTTTGTTACAGGGGATTCAAGGAAGAAAGAAGAAGATGCATTAATTAGTGTTGCAGATGATTTGGAGGTATAATTGCATTCAGAGATTTCAGCCAAACTGTTGTAGATTTCTTCAGTTTGCTAAGTATATATCATAGCAGGTCTTCTTTTTTTTTCTTTCTCTGACTAGACATATACATAGCAGGTTTTATGGTAGCTTCTATATTGTACAGTTGGACAAGTTCTTGATTTGTTTCATAAGTGAAAATTTCAGTCTGTCAGCAAAGCATTGTGGCATATACAAAACCACCAAATATTCTACTTCCAGCGTAATCATGAATTCACGAAATTATGAGTGAAGTGTAATTCTGTATAAGTGTATTCCTTAACATAATCATATACTATATTAAGAAAACTCATCAAAAGACAAGATAATCAAGGAGAAATATTATAATAATTCTTCTTAAACGAGTTTTCCACGACGAACTTGTTGAACAATTGTTGGAATTTGGCCTACAAAATGCACTTGGTAGCGGATCAGAAAAGAAGGGACCAGTTTGTGCCTTTGTGGTGTTGGAATTTAGAGCTGAGCATTTTGGTAAAGGTGTCCATTTTTCATTTTTCTCACGTCAATGCTTTTAGTCAAAGAATATTGATTGGGGGAAAAAAGGTCATGAATTTGAGACAAAGTTTAGAATTTGGCGGGGCTTGTAACCACATGAGAATCATTATCAAAGTTGCAAGAACATGTGTTACAAAGCTTATCAGAATTTGGTCCTGCTCTCACCGCCGCTGCTAAAAGTTAAGAACCGGATCCGAACCCACCGCCGACCACCTTTGGGAGCCACAAACCGGTGAACAAGTTCTACGATCTTAACTTCTTGTAGAATTTTTAATAATATTGAAAGTGTCTTAACAAATCTAATATTTTTTTAGGATGAAAGAATATAAGAAAGATGTATTTATTTTTATTTACTACATAAGAAATAAACTTATTTCGACATTATTCTCTCACTAATCTCGCAAAAATTTACTACTTCCAAGTTAACATGAAAATAAATAATGTACTACGGAGTATAATCTTTTTCTTGGGGGGCTTACAGTTTCAATGTACTCCATCGTAAAGTTTTTCCATAAAACAAATCACGAGACTCTTTAGTTGTGGAATTCAAAGCATAAAACAGTATTTTAATTCAGCAAAGTGAAACGACAAAAGTTAATGTTACTAGTGGATGTGTAATTATATACTCTCTCATGTCCTTAATATAAGTCATTTTGATTTATCCTATATTTAATATAGTACAGTACGTATTTTTAATTGACAAAAAACCTTAAAAATATTTCATAACAATAAAGAGAATACAACGAATATGAAAATATATTTTAAAATTTTTTTCGTCAATTAAAAATACGTACTTGGGACGAAATCAAAATGCCTTGTCACGTAAGTGGGTAGAAAGGAGTATCAATAGTGATCCCGCCTCGAATAAAGATGTAGGCCAAGCAAACAAATGCACAATGATAGCGGATTAGCGGGTAAGCAAAAGACAATTTAGACAAGTGGTCGACTCTAGGATTTGGCAATAGTGGGACATCATCATCCTTGGAATATCCATTTTTCACGTCGCATCCCAGATCCAATGTTGATTGTCTACCTTCTTCTTCTTTTTTTTTCTTAAAAAGAAATAGATAAAGCCGTTCACATTGAAAAATAATTAACAAATTGTATTTATTTGATATTGATATTCAATTATTCATTCATCTCGAAATAAAAGAAAACATATTTGAAATTTTCAAATCATCATGGAAAAGAATGGAGTAATACATTATCGTACGGATCAAAGCTTGATTGTCACAATCCAAGTATAACAAAAACCATTCTCCTTCATATTCCTTATGTCTTGTGGAAAGTATAGAACTAAAGAGCTGATAGTCTTCAATTTTCCGACAAGTTATGGAATCGAGCAGGCTATTTTTATTTAATTCATTTTCGCAAATTCATTTCTTATGACATGACTAGCAGCCCAAATGTCCAAAATTTGAGAATTAGCCCAAAAGATTAGTGTCGGTAAGCTAATTGTACTTTGTAAAATGTGTACACACAACACAACACACTAATATGACTCACCTTAAAAAAAAGGACAGGATGATAATAATAATTTCAAAACGAAAACAACAACTGAAAGCAAGTATGGCATGCACGTAGTCGTAGTGTATGTGGCGAAAATGCGGGCAATAAATTTAAATAATTATTCTTTATTGTTACTCCATTTTTTTAAAAAAAAAAAGAAAAAGAAAAAAGAAATCTCCAAAACCGCGTGTCATCAATCATCATCTTCCACTGTCTTAAAATAGCGTCAGGTTAAGCTACCCGATTCTGCACACACACACACACACACTCACACAGTCACACACTAAACACTCTCTCCATTTCTCAGTTGCTCTGCTTTCCTATTAAAATCATGGCGAGTTTGACTGTACCATCCGCCGTCCCCTCCGTCTCTGAAGACGCCGAACAACTCCGCAAAGCCTTCGAAGGTCTTTTTTTTTTTGTTCCTCAATTGTTTTTGGTGTTCTGTTCTGACTATTTCTTTATTTCTCGTGATCATATCGGATTTTGGACATCGTCTTTTCCATCACGGATGTTCATGATCGATATCCTTTTTCATTAATCTGTATTATCTGATGATGATTGATTCTTTTTTTATTGCTGAATGTTCTGTTAAGATTTAATCTTATCTTTTCATTGTTTCGAGAATGGATCTTTTGTGGTTGATCCGTCGGAATATGCTTTTTGATTCAGTTTCTTAGTATATTAATTTTTTTGCTCCTTTGAAATCATTGCAGTGGAAATTCATCTCACTTTTTTCCCCACCAGAATATTCTGATTCTGATGCTGAATCCGTTGATTCTTTGGTTTATTGATGCGATTTGATTGTTTGTTTCCTCCGTTCGTTTTTCTCTAACGACTTAAAGTTTTGATTTGTCTTCATAATGGAGTACGTCCTTTTTTAGCCCCTTACATCGACGTGTTGTATGTTGTTAGATTGTGACTGGAGATTTCACTATTGACTTTCTTTGGTACAAAAATAGTGGGGATATAGGATGCTTTATTCTGGATCGTTTGTTCTACTATGATGGCTTAAAGTTGACTCGATGTTGATGTTTAAAGGCTTCAGAGGATCACACAGATTCTTGATTCTGATTCTTTTGTGATTTGCTGGTCATATTGGTGTAATGGTGTTGAATGTTGATTAACCTGATATTCCTCTGTGTTTGAGATTCTTTTTTAAGTCAGGAATCAATAAAAAGCTTTGCGGATTTATCTTAGTTTATCAAAGTATTATGACTGATGCAATCTCTTTTTGAATTTGCTCAATCTCACCAAAGTAACGTTTCTTTATTTTGGCAGGATGGGGAACAAATGAGCATTTGATCATTTCAATTTTGGGTCACAGGAATGCTGCCCAGCGCAAGGCAATTCGACAGGCTTACGCTGACAAATATGGTGAAGATCTCCTCAAAGCCTTAGACAAGGAGCTCTCAAATGACTTTGAGGTGGGTTTTTCACTGATGCTTTCTACCCCTTGGCGTGTTGAGATTCGTTCACTTGATCTCTGCTGTGAATTAATTACTTTTTCGTAAACGTATAGCTGATATGATTGATTTCTTCTCAGAGGTTGGTCCTGCTGTGGACATTGGACCCTGCAGAACGTGATGCACTTTTGGCTAATGAAGCTACAAAGAGGTTTACATCAAGCAATCAGGTTCTTGTGGAGATAGCATGCACAAGGTCACCTAAAGAGCTCATTTTGGCTAGGGATGCTTATCATGCTCGTTATAAGAAATCCCTTGAAGAGGATGTTGCTTATCACACCACAGGGGAGTTTCGCAAGGTAAGCCAAAAACCATGCAATACAGTTTCTTCATATTTGATAACTGAGTTACTTTCATTTTTTTGCCTGAGAAACTAATTTTCCTTCGTTTAAGATTACATTTACGTGGAATATTCAAGCTTGTATAAATGCAATGAGCTATCTAGTGACCAAAGTTGTTGATAAAGCTACATTTTCATAGACTGTTGTTGCTATCATCTGTGCCAAGACTTAGATCTCCCTTTTGCATTCTTTTTTTTCTGTCCTTACAAGTTTGTTTTCTCCTTCCTCAAGCGATTGAATGAACCTAAAGTTTGTGTTTCACTCAAAAAAAATGTCGAAAGATTGAATGATGCCATTGGTATACTGAGAACTGAGGGATGTTATTGAAGGTCTTTCATACCTTGTCCTCCATTACTATGCTATATGGAACCTATCTTTTGAATAAAATTGCAAGTCTTCTACGTTCTGTATTCAGAATGTTTGATAACATTACACATTTGCTCTCAGCTACTTCTGCCTCTGGTGAGCTCATATCGATATGTTGGTGACGAAGTGAACATGACCCTCGCAAAATCTGAGGCTAAGATACTGCATGAGAAAATCAAGGACAAGCATTACAGTGATGATGATGTTATCAGAATTGTGGCCACACGGAGCAAAGCCCAGGTCAATGCAACCCTCAATCAATACAAGAATGAGTTTGGCAGTGACATAATCAAGGTATATATATCTATATATAAGAATTGTATTGTTTTAAACTGGAAATTCCTTCTATTCTTCTGCTCTTATTCTCAACTGACCAGCCAGACATGTACCAAAATGGCACTAATGATAGCTTTTCTTCTTCTTTGGCAGGATTTGGAACATGATAATGACAATGAGTTCCTCTCTATCCTGAGGGCTGCTTTTGAATGCCTTGCCTACCCTGATAACTACTTTGAGAAGGTTCTGCGAGAAGCAATTAACAAGCGCGGGACTAATGAGGCTGCTCTCACCAGGGTTGTGGCTACCAGGGCGGAGGTTGATCTGAACATAATTAAGGAGCTTTACCACAAGAGGAACAGTGTACCTCTGGGGAAGGCCATTGTCAAGGACACTCATGGAGATTATGAGAAAATGCTTGTTGCTTTGATCGGGGAGAGTGATGCTTGAAGTCAAATGGTGGAATAATGTCGATGAATCATCAATGCTGTTATAGGCTTGCCATGTTTCTGTCCCAAATTGCATTTTTAGCGCTGTTTTGTGCTTGTGGTGGTGTGGTTTCTCGGAGCTCTTATTTGACACTACTTAATAATAATCCTCAGTATTATGGCCTATGTTTATTTGCTGGTGGAACTTCATAAAGGTGATAATAATGATTTGTTTTTGGTCTCATCTAAATTCTTATTGTTTTTGGCTCTGTGCCCTTTTCATATCAAACAATCGAATTAACTATCTAATGCCATCCAGTATGGTCTATTGAAATATAACACATTCCAACAGCGTCACTAAGTAAAATCAAGAAAACGGAAGGTTGCAGAGGCTATCTGAGCCTGCTCCGATATTTTGCCTGTACAATCTCCTAATTTCAGTCTTGTGATAGGGTGACATTACAACAAAAGACAGTTACAACTTTCTGAGGAAAAAACTTGATGATTCTCTTTGCCTTGAAAAGGCATCATCTTACGCTAGTATAAGATAGATAGACGTAATGTCTCACCTGAACAGCAAAAAAACAAGTCGAATATCCTCTACAGACTACACAAAACTAAATGGGAAGATACTTGAGGTCAAAACATTGCGGGTATTCTTAAAACAACAACACTGTATCCTCACAGTCACAACATCATTTCTTTAGAAGATTTCGTGAGAATATCTTCTTGCAATATGGACTGGTGCGCAGACCTTCATGGGGACGAATTGCTTCAACTAACAAAGCACGCAAAGATCCCTGGTACAGAAAGGGGAAGATGATGAGTTTACATGAATGTTATCAACATGAGTATGTTGAATGTCATTTTGTGGAACAAGTGAACAAGTGGATAAACAAAGAGCTGAAAGAGATGCAAAAAGACTGAAAATTTACGGATAGGCAGGCTTTGAGAGTATAAAAACCTTGGTAATTTCTAGTGCCGACTGAATGACATAATTTGCAAACCGATCCTGCAGCAACTGGTCAAACTGAGGTACAGAAATTAAATCTTGAATAATCTTTGGGTGGCTGTCTTCAATAAATCGGAGGCACTTCTCCACCACATGGCTGCTAAACTTTTGCATAGATAAATACGCAAAGTGACCCTGGAACTGAGAAAGCAAGGTGGCAGCTGCTGCAGGAATCTTTAGCTCTATAATGTACTGGATGACATAATTTCTGCAACATGAACAAAAACTAAAGATCAGCTCGCATTCAGTTTATACTATGTAAGATCACCTACAATTACAGCCCTGTCTATGAACTGAAGATTAGTCGGTCGCTGCCTCCAAGCCATAATTATAGTCATAACAACCTTTTAAACTGGTTGGCATGCAAAGCTTACAAGTGAATAAGGGCGAAGAAAGTCGAAGCAAGCAAAGAGAAGAAAAAGCACCGTTCCAAGTAAAATGTACATACCCAAAGGCATCTTGCGCAAGGAGAAGTCCATTAGCACAAACGCTTGAAACCAACTTTTCTCGATACTTCCCACTTGAATAAGCAATACAGCGATTCAGAACACAACACCCATGCTGATGGGTAGCAATATCCACACTGAACTTCGCAGCAGTGTCATATATGTGCTGCATCATTAAGCAGTAAACTCTTATGAACAACATAAAATGAAACAAGAACAAGTCAAAGCTTATGCAACTGATACATTTCAAGTGAAGTTCAGCCTACCCAAATTTCAAAGTTTGATGAACGAAAGGACATCTTTCACCCATCTCCACAACTCTAAATCTAATCCATTCTGATAAGCAAGTATGCACATCTTTTAGTATGAATTCCATGTTTGATGTACCAATGACTTACATTTTCCCAAAATAGTTAAGGAGCATAATGGGAGCATACTCAGGACACATTTTGATAACTGTCACCAGATATAATGACTTACATCTTCCCAGGTTACAAGTCCAATAGAATCAGTTCAGATGAGGGAAATAATACAGAGAAGCTTGAAATTGGAAAGAAAACAACCAAACAATAAAGAACAGGGATTTTGTTCTGTTGCCATCACAATTAATATCGTCTTCAGCATTACAGATCTTAGTAGGTGCTTCAAATGCCTCAAGCATTTTCGTTCTGTCAGTTGCAAATATGAAAAGAAGATTCATACTTTTTTGTGAAACATCTCAAGGGTTTTCACACATCCAGGAGTTTGTTTTTCATGCAGTCAATGGATTTGGTACATAGTCAAACCTTTTTGGTTTACATAAGTAATATAGAGTATCATCGCATGTCAGATAAAAAAACTCCCCCTCCCAAGCAATTTGTGAACGTTTTGTGGATCAAACAATTATTGGAGAACCAAGCAATTGGCTATCAGCTTTTGTAGTCAAGTACAGATGCTCGCCAAGCATTTACATTTACCACATAAAGCAAAAAGCATTAGGTCTTCTTAACTTACAACAGCACTTCTATTAGGTACATCATAATCCCATTTGATTCAGTTAGAATATTCCATACTGTAAATGTGATATAAAAAATAAAAAATTTTACTTTGCATTTCTTCAGAAGCAATAGATATACTAAGGTAAGAAGTGGATACGACATTATACAAACAGTAAATATTGGAATTGGTCATCTGCAAACAACTGCTTGATCAGAGGATCAGTTAAAAGAAAACCATTACACAAGTCGCATGGTGAAGGACATATCTCGTCAAGCACAAATAGGCTTGTAGGATTCTAATCCTAATGTAGGAAATGATTATTGTTGTGGCCAGCAAGAAAGATAGATTCATGATGGAAAGACAAGAAACAAAAGCAATTCGTTGAAGACAATTCTCACAAGATGGACAGTCAATCTATGAAAGGTGGAAGAGAAGAACAAATCCAGTTGACTAAATATCGTGCAAAATTATAGGTACTGAAATTCAAATGCTGCACCTGAACTCCCATGCATTTAATGAAAATAAGGTAAAAATACATCTCCTCTCGAAATCAATTACTCAAAGCAGTAAGTATTCACCAATCCTAAGAACCACAATTAGAATGAACAATCCGTGTGTGTGTACCTTGTTATGATCATTTCCCAGGCATTGTAGACATCTCTGCACAACATGATTCCCATTTAGGTCATTCATGAGCTCAAGAAGACCTGGTTTGAGGGCCAAAATAATCATTGAAATATGCTGCTTGCTTTTGATGGTTTCTATCAGCTTTTGCACTACGCGGGTGCTGAAAAATTGACACGATAGTGTATCAATCACAATGGTACAAACGTAGCAATTGTAGCAATTTAAACAATTTCAATTTGGAGAGAGTTTGTGCCAGAGTTATTACCCATGCGAGTCCAAACAAATCTTGATGAGGTCTCCCTGCTGTTTAGTCACCATAAGCGCAACCAAAATTCTTTGTTCCTCTGAGCAGACTTCTAGCAGTTTTTGGATAAGATAGTTACCAAATGGATCAACCATGAGCTCAACAACATGTTCAATAACTTCATTAAATACTAGCTCAATATCTTGATGGCTTCCTTCATCAAAAATCAATTGTAAGAAACGGCAACCTACTTGGTGCTTGCACAATGAGTATATGTATCCTTTCAAGTCTAGCATCGATTCACAACCGAGCTGCATAGGTATTGGAATGGGAATCCCCAGAGAAGAACACCCTGTGGACATTTCTCTCAGTTTCGATTGACCAAACCTTGAACCACTTTCACAAGCTGCTTGAGATCGGATATCCTCATCATCAAAAACCAGATCATCCCCAGAAGACCTTGTCATCACATTCCGAATCCTTGAACCCTTCTTCTGGACCTTGGATCCTTTAGACTTCATTTTCGCCAAGCATTTGGAACAATGCCCAGATGAATCCAGAATAAAGCTGCCTTCACCATTTAGACCTTCAACCAACCCTGTATTTGCCATCATTGGCAAAGCTTGTCCACCTACATTCACAGCAGGATTTGGGGTTGCTCTGCCATTTTGGTTTTGCATTTGAAGTCTGTACGCTAAATCCAACTCCAACAGGGGATTAGTCAGCTGAGGAGAACTCACAGCAGCATTCTCAAGGATCCTACATTGTTGATTGTTCATGTAGTTCAAAAACTCACTGCCAACAAAAGGACTATTATTCACCATCAAAGGCTTCTGCTGTTGAAATCCTTGAGTCCAACAGCCCCTTTCCAGCTCCTTCACTGGCCTAATAAAACAATCCCTTTGATTCTCACTGAACAGAGCAGTGGGTTGCCGTCTTGGGAGAAAAGGGGAAGAAGAAGGACCCATCAAATCTCCAACACCCCATCCTTGTCCCCACCTGTTGTTATACCCCATGGAAGAAGGATCATGAACAGGATGATGATTGTTAAATCCTAGTCCAGCAACAGGGCCAACGCCATTGGACAAAGGGTCAATGAATCCAGCCAAAAACCCATGCGGGTCAACCCGAATTTTACTTGTGTTACAATAATCTCTGTGTTCATCCCCAACATGCATCTTGAGAAAGTTTTCGCACAATCCCACATCATATGGTACATTATTCAACATCCGCTCTTCACTGGGTTGGTTAAACAGCCCAAAACCCATGTTTCTCCCCGCTGAATTCACCATATTCTGATTCGTGCCGCCTTCCAAAGGGGCGGTGGTCATGAAGCTCTGTAATGATGATGACGATGATGCAGAACAATCGCCCATGACAGGATCAAATTGCCCAGGAAAAGACCCGGAATAAGGAGTCAGAGGTGAAAATGGAAAAGTACCAGTCGTAAACACATTAGGATTAGACTGATGATGATGATGATTTTCATAAAACCCATGATGATTCACCCCTGCTTCCATTTTCGCTTCACGATTTCCCTCAACACTAAACATCACAACAGCCCCTTTAAAAGCATCTACTAATACAGAAAAACGTTACGTTACTTTACAAAAACAAGAAACACGAACAAACACCAATATGTAACAGGAAGCTAAAACGATACCAACATGTTTAAAGGGGACCCAAAAAAAAAAAAAAAAAGAAGAAGTTCTTTTTGGAAAAAAAGAACAAAAACGCTGGAGATCAAAGACGAAAAGGGGGAGAAAAAGGGAAACCTTTTTTATGATGAGTGATGGAAAACAAGAAGGAGAGTATTGTGTGTTAAAAGGAATGAAAATGGGCACGCCATTGGAGTGAAGAGAAGAGAAGCGCAAAAGAGAGACACTAACTGGCAAAAAATCTTTCTGATCACAGGTGGGCTGGCTCACTGGCTAATACTGTGCACAAAGGACAAACTGAATTGCCGAGGAAACCGAATTAAAGCCAACTCTGTCACTCTTGTCTCTCTTGCGTTTCTATTTAGTGGAGAAAAGCAAGCTCTCTCAATTAGGAGTTTTTTTAATTTTTTTTATTTTTTTATTTTTTTGCAATTCTTGAATTTAATGGAGGATTTTGGTGTAATTAAGGTTAAGGTTTGAGTGATTCCACGTTATAGTATGACTCATTTTTAGTTTCGCTTGGGTTAACAGATAAAATTGTTCCTTTATTTACCCTGATATTGATCTAAGATCCATTTGTCCTGCCTATTGTGTATTGTTGTATGGTGTTAAAATGTTACAAATGTAACTAGTTGATATTAGTACTCCCTCCCTTCCAAAATTATTATCCACTTTGGGTTTTCATTTCTAGTTCAAATTGTACTGAAAATGAAATCTCAAATTGAACAATAATATTGGGACAGAGGGAGTATTTGATATGAAACCGATTATTCAATTCATTAAGATTTGTTTACGAATTTAGTTAGACTGTTAGTAAATAATAATACAGATGAGGCTTAAGAGGAAAGTACCAAAGGGAGAAGATTCGAGGGAGTTTAGAACTATAACAATTATGTAATTTTGTAGAAATCAGTCATATGATGCTGCAAGTTTGCAATTTGTGATGTGTGAAAATATGGTGTGGTAATTTAAAAGGCTACTTTTGTAATGAGAAATTATGGTAAATTTCAGCTTTATCCTTTTAAGGCACAAAAATAAGTTGGGTCTAGTGAGGAAATAGGGCGGAAGATAGAGTACGTAGGATATGCCTATCAAAAGGGAGCATTATGACAGAGAATTCAGTTTCTTTTTTACTATTATTGTGAAATGTTGTTACAAGCTTCATGTATAATCTACTACAAAAAAATAAATAAATAAATAAAATTGGGATTGATCCACTCATCCATACCTATACTGGGTAAAAAGAAATATATGAAATATTAGAAGGAGAGATGGTCGATGTAATTGTATAGAAAATCATCATAGAAGGACATAATTAGTTTTTGTTTTTAGGTGTTTTTTTTTTTTTGGAATGTAAAAATGTATATTGAAAATGTAAAAAAAAAATAAAATATGTTGAAATGAGACAGTTATTAATTAAATATAATGAAAAAAAAAGGTAATGAAAAACCAACCAAACAGAGCCTTGTTTGATTTCATTTTTAGTAAGCGTCTGAAATTATTTCTCTAATTTATTTTACTCTCTTTTTTCACCCAAAAATGATTAATGATTAACCTGTTTATTCAATACTCACTTTTAAAATGTAAGAAGTGTATATGTCAACCAAAACTTCTCGCTGATAAACTCGAAACTTATATAAGTCCAAAACTCATGGGCAGCCTGGTGCCTACGATACACATAAACTACCAAAGTCCCCATCTGCATATTTGATTTAAGTTGAAAGTTATTGAAATTGGGATATGTCATTTAAGAGGTAAATGGTTTGAGTCAAAGAGCTGAAAATGACGCAGAATTTTCAATCCTTTGGAGTAAGAGCTCGTGAAAAGAAGTTGTTGCTCCTACATTTTTAATTTGTTTTTCTTTTTAGTTGTTTATTTTCATCACATTTTTTCCAATAAAAATTACTCCCTCCGTCCCATAATTATTGTCCAGTTTTACTAAAATGAAAAATTTTATTTTTGGTCAAACTTAACTATATTTTACCTTAAACAATCGGATATGTTTAACCACTAAGATTTTATGGATAATATTTTTTACTAAGGACAAATGTGTAAGATCCATAAAAAACCAAATTGAACAATAATTTTGGGACAAAATTTTTTGGACAAAGTGGACAATAATTATAGGACGGAGGGAGTACTATCTATACGAACCCAAGAATCAGAATTCATAAGAATCCTGAGTATATGAAACAGTAAATTAAGAATGCATAAGATATTGTAGAGGAGCTGTATAAATATGACGATAAAATAGTAAAATAGTAACAAAATAAATAAGAAAGAGTGTTGAATCAGTAGAGATTTTTGAGATTCAAAACCAAATTAATTAAAATAGAGGTATTATAGGAAAATTAAGCGACATTATAGAAAAATGACGCTTTATTATTATTATTATTATTATTATTATTATTTGATCAATCCCACACAAATTCAAAGCTTATAAGAATAAATAGAACTATGAGAAAAGAAGAAGGAGCAGAAGAAAAATGAGAATGTAATTGAAGAAGAATCCCTATCAACCACAAAATGAAAGAAGAAGCACATTTTGGATATAATAATTTCTGTATCAATTGATTGAAAACAAAAAGACAGTGGTCATAAACACCTAAAACCTAAAAGCAATGAAAAAGGTAGCTTAACCCTGAACTATATCTAGTACCCATCATCAAACCACTCTCTATCCTTTCCAAATTAAGAAGAACACACATCCAGCTTAGGCATGAATGATTACACAAACAGAGGGCTTCAAATAGGAAAAATATCAGAGCCGTGGATTGTGATTGAATATGATCCGGTGGTGGAGAAGTTTTTGCTTGGGGACCAAGCCATCCTTGGCCTTATTACCCCGTCATCTTTGGCCCAAAACAAATTGTATAAATTCCTTCAATGGGCCGCTAGTCACCAAATAAATCGTCTTCCCAGTTTACCGAAAAAAGATGGAGGTGTTTGTTTGGACGTCAGACTTACATTTCATTTTTCAAATTGAAAACTAAATGAGAAATAAAAATAGTGTTTGGATGTTGGTTTTGAAAAAAAGTATTTTGAACTATATTTTGAAATATTAAGTACAAGTCATCACTAAACAATTAAATACTGTTAATTATAATCACTGCAAAAAAACACTTTTCCAAAAACAATCACTCAATAACGGAATCCTGCCAAATTTGTCACTGAACTATTTGTAGTTCTAAAATAGTCATTACACTAACAAAAAGTGTTTTAAGTTAGAATTTAAAATGTAAATCAGAAAGTTGTTTGGATGATGTTTTCTTTTCCATTGAATTTTGTATTTAAGAAGTAAAATGAGTGAAAATGTAAAATGGAAGGTTGTCTAAACAAGGTTTTAAACACATTTTGGCGCTTAATCCTCACATGTTTCTACACATTTCGCTTACGGTAACTCCCTCTCTTTTCCGAATTGAAAAGAAACTTTGTCGTGGAGATTAATCAGAATAAGTATAGACACGTTTAAGATTATTTTACTACTTTTCGTTAGTATTCTTATTAAGTTAGGAGATCCGTATTTCACAATTTAAACCTGCAAGTTTCAAATTCACAGTTCAAATTATGGATTCCGAAGACGGTGAAAATCTTAGGAATTCGACATGAATTCGATGCATAGAGAAAAAGAGCTGTATATTATTAGTACATTCAGTTAGAACAAATGACCAAAGTTAAATTTCTTTTTCGATTAGATAGGTCTAATTAGATGAGTAACATAAATTTGTCTATTTACCAGTCTTTTTGAATGTTCCATAATTTAAATATATGTTGTAATTTCGAAAAACAAAGTAGTCATATACTCTCTCTGTCCCAAAATTATTGTCCAGTTTGAGATTTAACTTTCAGTATAATTTGAATTAAAAATAAAAACTCAAACTGGACAATAATTATGAGACGGACGGAGTATTATCAAAATTTCATTTGGTCAGTGCTGTAATTCGAAGAAGAATCTTATGGAGTACAAATTACTCCACAATTAGAAATAAATGGTGAACTTTTAATAGATTAAAAAAAGAAAAAAAAGGATTGAGACACTGGAGTTGGGCCCACTGATTTCCACATTTAGTTAGACTTGTGGCCCACCAGATAGAGACGGACCCAACTGCAGCCACCAGCAAGTTCTTTTCTCCCTCTTTTTTTCGTTTTCATTATTCATTTTGCGTATGAAATGATCTTTGGGCCATTTTTATTTTTTTCTGCTGATAATTCCCAACATTTGTCACAGTTTGATAATCTTGACTATCCCCTTAATCATTTTAGAAAGAAAGATTAATAAACATGTTCTACTTTAAACAAATTACAAACACATAGGTGGGAAAATAATTTCTTGTTTCCACATTTATTTTAGTATTGGTAATAAATAATGTAAAGTGTTGCTTCAAATATTTTTTTTTTTTTTCTTTTAATCTACCTGCTACACTAATATCACAAAAAATTCCAGCCAAATTCCCAGTCTCTATCATAGCAATTGACAGCTTCCACACGTAGTATTCGAATTGGTACAAGAATTGTATTCTTTGTGCAAGTCACTCCATCATTGATCATAGGTACAAGATTTGAGGCCCACTGATTCCATTCCAAATCAATCTATGGCAATGCAATAAAGCATTGCTCATATAAAATTTAAATTGGATGAAATGAAACTCCCCAAATTCAACAGTGACCACCAAAGCCTAAATCATTGTATTGAGGGAGTCTAAATCAATTGGTCTACAATACTAAGCTGAGCTCAGTCAACAGTCGAAACAATTTCAAGACACCAACACATAAAACAAAGATTATACATTTATATAAGCCAATTAGCAAACAGTCGACAGCTATGGAGGAGGACAAGTTAACCTGAACCACACCAAATTCCACAACACAATTGTCAATATGTTTAAGAAACAAATACCCTCTATAGGAGAGGGGAAGAGACACCAAGACCACCAATAATAATGTGATTAAATGGGGGGAAGTGAGGACCTAATAAATTACACCAGTGCGATGGTGCTCACACCACCAGGGGGCTTGCGAACGCCACCAAAGTAGTCCCGGGATTCTACCTTCTCATCCGCGAAAATGTTACTCCCACTCATCTCTCGCAACTTTGCTGAACTCAGTGGCTTCTCGGCAGATGATGGAGGTGCATCGCCCTTGAAGATGTTGTTCCCGGATAGCTCCACAAACTTCTTCTCGGGGATCTTTTTTGCTGTCTTGACCACAGTATCTTCACTTGGTATGTCACTGCTTGGCCCTACAGAGGGCTGTATTTGTTCAAGAAGTAGTGTGCATTCATCAGCCCATGGGAAAATAACACAGGCACGCAAGGTGATGTTCAGACAAAGCAGAAATTTAACGGATTCTGGAGTGCATTTCTTAGAATTAATATTGCCAGCCTAATAGGATTTTCCCAACAATTTGTTATGCCAATATTCAGGCCATGTTTTTTTACTCACTTCACATTAGAATTTAGCAACAGATCACTGTTTCATACTTTTAAGCACATAGCAGGGGCAAAGGCAACATTAATAGATTTAATACTTCCATGCAATTGGGCAGGCCATATATTTTATATCTTATATCTAGATAGACGCACATTCAAATGGAAAAGCCCCATGACAGCACAAGAAACAGGATGAATGTGCACTTACATTACGGGCAGCAGCTTCCCCAATGGTAATACTTTCTCTTAGAGCCGGTGCGCGAGCAGACAAGGGACGAGGTTTAATCTCAGGAGGGGGAGCAAATATATCATGGCCACTAAGCTCCTTGCATTTTGCATCTGAAAGTTGTTTCTTCAGCCTTGCCTCAGCTTCACTTTCAGTTTCAAGATTTCCACTTAGTTCCCTTTGCTTCGCTACTTCAGGCACAGTAGTAGGCTTCTTGGGTGTAACAGCCCCTTCATCACCAAAGGATATTTGACTCATACCAGCGACTGCTTGCTGTTAAAGAACAGATGGAATAAACATCAAGAAAGGAATCAAGATCCAGCAAATATCCATTTGCTATTAAGTTTCAAATTGTTTATTATCATTATAGGGCATTTTACCTGGTACATGCGTAATCCAGTTTTACTTGCAGAGGTTCCATCGGCAATATCTGATTCAGGGACACCATTCTCGCCACCAGCTGCAAAAATTCCACTACCTGTTATTTCCTTCATTTTAAAGTCTGAGCATGGTTTCCTGGAACATCGAATGGCAAGAAAGGTCAGAAATGCAGATAACCACAACCAAAATTTACAGACTATCTAAATGTCTATCAAACTAGGAACTTGCAAACACTAAATTGAAAGTTTCTGCAAGTGGACCCAGAAGTTCTCAGCATAAATTCTGCAATTTTAATGACGATGATTAGATGGTCAAAAACAGAGGTGTTGATGCAAATGAATCTACCCTTAAACCAGCCAATTATCATACATATGCCAGATTGTTTTCATTCCCAATTATTCTCATAATGAATGTCATCTGAGAAACTAAATCAACGGAAAGAAGCTTTCTTGCTCGTACAACTGTACATATTCTTCATTAGAGGTCAGTAAATGTAACTCAAAATGATAAGAAAAAAAGATTGAAACTTTAAGAAATTTAATCTCTTCAATGATTGAATGACAGACGAACAAAAACTTGACACAGAAAGAGATCCCTGCAGATTTACCAATCACACCTTTCAGATCAAGCAAAAAAACAGGTTCCAGAATGAAAATCATTTTTCAAAAAATTACTGCATAAACTTGTAAAATAAAGTCTTGAATGGCAAAGTTTAATCCAGTTATAAATATCCAATTTATCGTGTTGCGAAAACAGTGACAAATACAGCCAAAAACATAAGATCCCAAACAAATTCTCCAACCTTTCTGCATTTATTGCCCACTTTTGCCTACCCCCTTCTCTTAAAATAAATAATAAAAATAGGTAAAATGCACCAAGAAGATAGGGGGAAAATAAATTTATGACATAAATTTGAAAGCAAGCAAAAGCAGAAAAAGCTAGATCTTTTACCTCTTATTCAAGCTTTCGACTTCCTCGTCGGTGACCTGTCCTCCGAACACAACCTTTCTGATACCATCCGACGGCTGTCCCAATCCCCCAGAAAAGAAAAAAACAATAAAATTTTAATAATATCCCAAAATAAAGAACCCATTTCAAAAATAATTTAAAAAAAAAAAAAAACAAAAGACCAAGTGGTAGTGAAAATGGCATTGTAATCCAGCTGACCTGATGAGAACGGGTGGCAGAGCGAGCAGCGGAAGCAGATGCCGGAGTATTTTCCGGCGGAGTTTCCGACCAAGTGAGCAGATCTGCGGTGGAAGTGTGAGGCTTCCTCACGGGTGTGCTCCTCTCCATCGCTTAACTTACAAAAATCCCCCTCTTCTTGATTAGCCAAAATCAAACAATCCAATCGATAATATATCCCAGTCCTAGAAAAAAAGATCTGGGGTTCTTCGGAATTGCAATGTAATTGGTTTCTCTATTTGTATTCTATCTTGATTATTTAACTATTTTTCGAGCTAATCCAGGGAGAAGAAGGGAAGCAGAGCTGAGGAGAATGGAACAAAGAGTGTTGGGAAGTGGAAGTGGGCACTGTGTGAGTATGTGTTTGATTTTTTATTAGCGTTTTTTGTGTCTGTTTGTTTTTTTCATTTTTTGTTCTTTTTTAAAAAAATAAATAAATATTTTTAAAAAATTTAAAAACCGTCGACTAAAAGTCACTCTTTCTTGCTTTATATTTTTTCTTCCCTTATACTGGAGGAAGTAGTAGTCACTGGCTAGTCAGATGGGATGACTTACGAAAGAGGATTTTGATTTTATTTTTTATTTTTTATTTTTAATTTTTAATTTTTGGGAGGACCTTTTTTTAGCTTTAGTTGTTGTTATTGTTGGGGGAGCATGTGCGCTAGAGGGACAGGCACGTGTCAGTGGCAGAAAGGTCCCACCCCCTTATTTCTTCCCCATCAATTCATATTCATGGCTGGTTCTTCTTATTTTTATTCTCAGTCTATCCCCCTCAAAATTCAGAGTTTCAAAGTTTGTAACCAATTCTTTTAGATAGATTTGTATTTTGCACTGAATTTGTTATTGTTTAAAAATCACCCCAAGTTATTTGTACGAATCTCAGTTCTCCTATGATACAAGTCACAATTTACTAGCAAGAAAATTCTCCAAAGTGATCCATGACTTCAAAAATGAAATAGGGTAAGTAAACGCAAAATGTAACCAAAAAATTGAATGAAACGACTAAGATTATAGAGTAGAAGATGAACAAAAGAGTTCCTAAATCGAGGATGTGTATTTTCTTTCACATTTAGCTGTCATATTTCTTAATAATTGATACTATTGATTCTAACTGTTTTCATTACTGAATAATTGTATATTGCGGACAATAATATAATTTTTTTTCTCCACTTATTTTGAAATATTACTAAAATTTTCACTGAATTTGTTCGTCTATCTACTACCCTAAATCCAGGCCAACAGTTTTAAGTGGATCATATTTCAAAGCTCCTTTCGTAGCTTATAAAGATGGATAAATAAGTCAATCCATAGATTTAAACATTGGAAAAAGGTTGAAGGCTAACGTTATTACTTTCCCACGAATGTGAAGGACGATATGTGGGAATTCAATTGGCAAAAGGACTGAAGAAGAAAATGAGTGTTGTGAAAGGGCAATAACGTCACGTGGAAGGACAAACAAGGAAACTTGGGGGGAGATTTCTTCCGATCATACGGAGAGGGGATGACTTTACCAGACGTAAGGATAAAGGTAACCGTTGGACACTAAAAGCCTTATTTGCCTCCCCCCCTTTGCGTCGCTTCTTCCCTACTGTTGGAAGGCTATTCCTTTTCAAATTTTTGATTTTCAAAAATTACATCTAAAGCCCTTTTGATCCTCAACAAACTAACGTCTATCAATATCTTTGACTTGATCTTTGCGCCAAAACCTCCGCCTCCACACCATTAATTATGCAAAATTAAACTTCACTAGCCGTCGATAAATCCCTAAATCCCACAGAAATTGCTCCAACAGCCGTAACAATTATTTTTTTTTTCTCATTTTTGGTTGAAGAAAATATAATTGTAAGATATTGTAACCACAACATATGGAATATGTTTTAAACAATTAAATTCTGTAATTTTATAGTAATGTAAAGAAAATACATTAATGCCGGGAAAGGATTTGAGTAGCAAAAATTATAGACGTTGAAATTCATCATAAAATTCAACTATCATCAAATATGTCTCAGATCGACTTCCTAATCTCTCTGTAGTAATTATCAACCATCTGTGAATGCCCAAATTCTCTAACATTGCACTATTGCAACCACAAGACCACTATTTACTTCTATCATAGCTAGTACGTACGTAGCTTGACATATAATTCCTCCATTAATGTAGCCACCAAAACTAACTAGCTTTAGAATCCTATTGAATTGAACATGTTGTAATCATCAGAAACACTATATACCATTGTTGATGATGCGACTTTTAAACCATTTAGACCAACAAATTCCTTCCCCTCTTCGAAGTTAGGCTGTAACTTGTCATGCTATACAAAAAGGTATAATAGTTATATGGCAATGCTTCCTTTTTCTTTTTTTTTTTTGGTTAAAAGTGAAAGCAAATTGCATCAATTCCTCCCGAACTTATTAGGGCATAATATATATAGCTCCACCTTAATTCAATAATGCAACTGTTGTTTTCATTTCCTATTCAATTGAACTAGGAGTTTGTTTGACACTATCAATTGTTACACGGAAATGAAGTACTATATCATTTTTTCTGTAATTATATGCTGATTCGTTTACCCTCGAAATTATTTGTGTGGGACTTCATCGTTTGGTGTATTTCTAAAGCTAATACTACAAAATTGATTCTCACCAAAAAAGAATAGGGAATATGTTGGCGAATATAAAAAAAAGTACTAGAAGGTGGATGGGTGAATGTATGGACCAAACAAAACATTACATGTGAGTTATGATGGTACTCGAGCTTTGTCACCCAAAAACCTAACTTGGAACTCACACAAGAAAAAAAAATTAAAATAAGTTTCTCGCAAGACTCCTTTATAGAATACTCGCAACTGCACTTCAAGTTGATTCCATTTCCAAGGTTCATAAAAAAAAATTAAGCAGCTGGGTTTGTGTGTGTTCATTTTTACTTTCTCTGTCCTAAAATTATTGTTCAATTTGAGATTTTACTTTTAATAAAATTTGAATTAAAAATCAAAATCTAAATAGAACAATAGTTTCGGAACAGAGAGAATAAATAACAAGTAAACTCGTTACAAGATAAACATCGCTTCCATACAGCCTGCAAAATCACATAAATGAGGCGTTCTGCTCTAGATAAACCCTATGCGACAGAAAAATGCGAATCATAGAGGATCGAACATGGACTGAGTATGAAGTTTGAACGTAACATTACTAGCCGATCCAACCCTTCTCATCTACCTAGCCAGTGTTGGTTTGATACTTTGATTAAATAATTATAAGCAGTTGTAACTCACTCTTAATTACTAAGATATAAAATAAGTACGAGAAATTCGAGAAAGATAGATTAATCATTAGAATCATAAGAGCTGTCAATTTTACCAAAGATTTGGCCTTGTCAACTAAAAACCGGGAGAGCATTAATTTAATGTTGTTCTTCACTGTTTCATGGACCATTCTTCGGGCAACATTTTTGTGCTATTTCTTTTATAATTTATACCACTACTTTGACACTTGATCGGAAACCTAGTTATTGATACTTGTGATGGTGATCATTTTGAAAAGGTACTCCTCACCTAACCAATTACTCCGGTTGACAAAAACGCTTGGTTTTTGGTTGTTGAATTTGAATCAAAACATCGTTAATGTCTAATCCTCGTGTGTTAAACCATGATTAGTAATGATGCAAAATCATTGCCACTATCCAAAATTTACTAACAAAAGGGATCTCCACAGGAGCACTTTTTAAGCTTTTAGCCTAGAAGAAGCAACTTTCAATTGCCCATTACCAGCTAGCTATATATATATGTTTGAAACAATAATGTTTCTGGCCCGAAATCAGGTCATTTTCAGGTGGAATATATTAAATAATGGAGACAATATCGCTATCTTGAACAACTTACAAGGTCCAATTTCAAAGAAAATCGAAAGAAAGTTAGATCTTGTCCTGGTTTCAAGCCATAGATTACGATGATGACACTCGTCCATGCAACAACATTGGATTCTTTAGAGGAGATAATCGAAATTTACTCGGGTGTCCTTCGAATAATCCAATTCGATCAACCAAAATGATTCAGCAAATTGTTTTCCAAATAGTTGGACTAATGGTTTTAAACATCAAGTGCGTAGTAAAAAATAAAAATAAAAAATCAACAAACTAAATTATTAGAATGAGAGATACTTCTTCCGTCCTAATTATGTGACACAAATTTTAACTAATTTTAGTGCTAAGTTATGCCTTATAATTATGACCAGAAGGAGTATATTGGAGTACCGTCACATAATGCGGATAAACAAGAAACGAAAGGGGAAAAAAAAGAAAAAAATACTGCACGAATTTCTCACCTCTACTATTTTGGATTACCCTCAATAAATCTTTTAAAAATATATATAAAATTTATTCCGTATGAGATGAAATATTTCTATTTTTCCAATTTTAATTTTATCGTTCATTTTGTTGAACTAAAATAACAATAGATGAAAAAGAGACGTCATGTTCCTTCTATTACTCCCTCCGTCCCATAATTATTATCCTGTTTAAGTTTTTATTTCTAATTTAAATTGTACTAAAAATGAAATCTCAAAGTGGACAATAATTTTGGAACAGAGAGAGTATAACTTAAATAACCCTTTGATTTACCTAAGTTCGTAATATGGGTGCACTCTAGCTAGTTGGTGGAAGAATAATCATTTTTTATTTTTTTCCTTCTTTTTTCCTTGAGGTCAATGCTGGAAGCGAATTACAGTCAGAATGGTCAAAATTCTTACAGAGGTGACTGATGTTGAATGTAGAGATACGGTTCGAACAGCAGAACACATTTGAGGTTGTGCAGTCGGTTGTACCTTAAGGGGTGTTTTGGTGTTTAATCTTCACCCGAAACCTATTTGATCTGTCAACCTCCAAAACAACTTTTGTAGAGCGTCTCTTTTGAAATTTGATAAATTTATCATGCTTAAGATACTGGTCAGTAACTCCGTTGACTCCAGATGTTTATTCGGGGAATTTTCTATTTTTGTGTCTCCGAATAAATCTATCCGGTTTAAATATAGATTAATTTGATTACAATACTTATGTGTTTGTTTTGAATATGTTATCATACATACACTGTACAAAGAACTTGGATGAATCTAAACATTAAGGAAGCGCTTGGTTCATGGGTTTCAAATACTTGAAATGAAATTTTTAGATTTGAAACCCAATTTTTATTGCTTGGTTCAAATATTGGGAATGTCTCGGACCACTAAATTGGGTTTGAAAGGCATAAAATCATTCCCTACTAATTTGGTGGATATGTCTCGGGCCGTCTTCCCTTTCTGGCTTTCTCTTCCGTCTCCAACTTCATTCTTCTCTTTTCTTTTTTTCTTTCTCTTCACTCTCACCACCATCAACAACAGCCGATTTCTTCATGGTATTCTCTCCGCCACCATCATCAACAACAATAATCGTAATCAACAACAACTAATTCTATTCATTATCAAAAACGCTTCCCGATCTTCTCTCCTCCCGTCAAAATATCATGAATTTGCCTCTCTTTTCTTCTTCTTTCTCAATCAAATTCATTCCTTTTTTTTTTCGAATTGACATAAGGCAACAAGTGAGTATTCTCTAATGGGCATAACTAGTAAAAAAAATTTGCCCAATTTGGGTTGTAAGAAGTATCCAAAAAACAAAAAATTTTCATAGATTTGGTGTTCTCCAAAACAAAAATTCAAGAATGTAATTTGATTTATACGGGGGGCAATCGAGATAGTGGCAGCAGTTGTTAATAGAGTAAGAGAAGAGTGAAGCAGTGTAGGAGGAGAAAGAGGGGAGGTGGTGGTTTGATACGGTTAGCGGCTATGACAGGAGGTTGAAGTGAGAAATGTATGGAAGAAATAAAAGATAGAAGATAAGAACATAAATGATATTTTACAAGTATTCCCATCTAAAAATTTTATGTAACCAAACACTATTAATGAATCCAAGATGATTCAAAGTATTTCAATGCATTCCTTTGCATTCTAAGGTTTCATTCCACGTCCATGAACCAGGCACCTCCTAAAATCGTGTAAATACACTTGTTATATATTCTTGTAGAATATTTTCGTGATTTTATTTTGGGCTTAATAACATGTGAGAATTGGTCTCTTTTACTTGGGCCTTATTTTGGAGCCATTTAGAATGGATTGGATATCAGCTCAAGTTCAGTTGCTGTAGCCACAAGCAGCTCCGGTCATTTTCCTTCTTCTTCTTCTTTTTTTAAAATTATTTTAATTTTTATTAATTTCTTTTGGTCAAGGAATACAGTATTACATTAATATAAGTAGCGACAAATATAAATGTTCAGTAGACCTAAAATACTATTAAATAATAATAATTTCTTAAAAAACAAATACAAAAAAAAATTAAATATTAAAATAAATAAATAAATACAAGTCACAACTACTAACTATTCGGGTTAACAAACTTTTTAAAATATTTATACCCGCATGTCGTGTGACACAGATTATAACAACACATCACAATACATTATCCTTTTCTTTTTAGACACACAACTGAAATTTTTGTATTAAATTTTTTAAAAATACAGATTTATAATTTGTTAAGAAGAAAAATATTAAAAAAAATCTTAAAAGAGAAAAAAAAAATTCATAATTTGTGAAGAAGAATAATAAAACATATTTAAAGGAGAAAAAGAAAAATGAAGTCATCCCATCTATGCTTTCCCTAATTCCCGATCATAAAAATGAGAAAATCAGTTTAGTGTACAGATTTTGGAGGCAAAATGGCGGTACACGTCACCTCCAATGAATCCCATTTAAAAATTTCCTCTGCCTCTAAGAAAAAACAAAAAGAAAACAAAAATAAGTAAAAAAAAAAAACAAAAACAGAAAATATTGTGAAGAAAGTAGAAGGAGCTTTTGAACAAAAGCTGGATGGCAGCTTCTGGGATGGGGAATTACTCGTCGCTGTTCTTTCCGGGTCGACTAAGTAATTCCGATTTCCGACGACGGTTCTTTCTCCTCGGCTCTACTTCTCGCTTCATCCCACAGTCCGTCAAAGGCGTTTTCGCGGCAAGAGTTAACGCGGCTACTTCAACGGCTCTTGTCGAAACCAAACCTGTAAGATTGTTTTTCTTTTTGATTGTTTTAAATTTTTGAAGGGCGTTAGACTTTAGAGTGAATTTTATCAAACACATTGATGCTGCATATGAGTAGAATTGTAAGAAATGCGATTTTTTCATGGGCAAATTGTGGAGGACTTGGATTAGAATTTGGGAGGCCACTTTTTTTTTTTTTTTTGTCTTAGGAAGTTTGAAATGTTAATGTTGTTTGAAAGAAGATTCTGGATTCCAAATGCTGGATTGTTTGTTGTGATCATGAATTGCTGTTGTTATGTGAATTGCTTTGGTTCTCTTGCGAACAAAGTATTTTCAATATATGCATTTGTTTTGTGCGTTCAGGATCCAATCATGGACGAGTTCAAGTTGGAAAGTTGTAAGGATATCTTAGCTTGTCCTATATGCCACAGCCCTCTAATCTCTGATGTCGATTCTGGTTCATCACTGTAAGTAGTATCTGCTCCCATCTAAGTTCTAATTGACGTGAGAATGACCTTTTTCGTTTCAATTTTATGCCCCGTCTTGATGATTTCGTAATTCAATAGCTTGTGCAATTTTTATTTTTATTTTTTCATCATTCTAGTACTATTACATCTGACTTCATCCGTGAATGTTCACGTCAAACATTTTTTTTTGTGAATTTTGCTTCAGGGATTCTCCAGCAGGAACCAAATTTCAGTGTAGAACTTGTCGAAAGGCTTACTTTGAGAAGGACACTCATATTGATTTGACCATTACTGGTGGTAGTCAGGGATATGGTGAAACCAGACCTGCTTCTACCGAGCTTTTCAGGTATTGAACCATAGAATAATCACTCTCCTCATATGTTTCCATGTGTTGTTCAATTGTGTATCAAAATTGTGATATCTTTTTTCACAAAACAGTTAGACATCCTTTGTCTTTCTGGTTGTTATTGGATGATAATGTTTGTCATTGGATTTTGTTTTCTTTGATTGCTTTAAATTTGTCTTGTCATTTATTTGGAAAAGTTGATGTTTGTTTTTCCTTGATGGTAATGTCGAGCCAACTCTATGAAATGAATTTTCTTATTCTGACCAATAGTTTCTATTGAAACAGACTTCCTCTGGTCTCATTTCTGTATGAGAGAGGTTGGAGACAGAGCTTCAATATATGGGGTGGTTTCCCGGGTGCTCAGAAAGAGGTAACTTGGCTGCTTCTTCATGTATCTTGTTTTTGTTTATCAGGATATGTTATTAGGTAACCATTAAATTACTGAAGCGGTTTTTAATTCAAGATAGAGTTGCATGTGTATTTTGTGATTATTGCTATGTTATATGCACTTGATCAGATAAAGATATGCTATTTCAGTCATACTCTACTGATTCAAAGATGCAAGGCTCTAGATACTACAAAAAAAGTGTTTGGTGGTTTATGATTTTGTGTCTATGTCAATCTTTAAATCGAGCTGTAATGTTTATTGTGACTACAGAAAAGTGGTTTTACTCTCAAATATTATGTGTTCCATTCTACTTATTCTACAAAAATGAAGTGTCCGATCTATTTTTTGTGCACTCATAACTGTTATTGTTCCTTAATGGGACAAAGCAACAGAGCTCTTAATAGATTTGACTACTTTCTCTGCAGTTTGAACTGATGAAGGATTACCTGAACCCAGTCTCTGGAGGAAAAATTGTTGATGCGAGTTGTGGCAGTGGGTTGTTCTCCCGGCTTTTTGCCAAGAGTGGACTGTTTTCTCTTGTTGTTGCCTTGGACTTTTCAGAGGCTATGTTGCGGCAGTGTTCTGAGTTCATAAAGCAGGACGAAGACCTTCCTAAAGAGTAGGATATCTGTCTGCCTCTGTTATAATTCCTGTGAAGTATTCCAACCTGATTATTTGTACTTCTGTTCTAATACTACGTTCTGTATTTTAAGGAATATAATCTTGGTCAGAGCAGATATCTCCAGGCTTCCATTTGCATCAGGTAGTGTGGATGCTGTTCATGCTGGTGCCGCTTTGCACTGTTGGCCTTCACCATCAGCAGCTGTGAGCAACTTCTGAACTTAGATCTCTTAGAGCTTCTACTGGACTCCGACCTATGATTATTTTTTGTCCTTTAATCTTTTTCTTTTTGTCCTTTAAATTTGTCCGATGAGTTGTGCACCGACCGTACACGATGGCGACATATGATCCATATAGCCGACCCCACCTAGTGGGAAAAAGGCTTGTTGTTGTTGTTGTTGTTGTTGTTGTAATCTTTTTCTTTCCTATGTCTGGCAATAGTTTTTAACCGTCTGCATTTTCCATTTTGCCATTTTAATGGCAGATAGACTTTTTTCTGTTGAGATTATTAGTGTGATGCAGCAACATGAACTTATTCAGCCAACTGGAGTTGTCATTTGGATTTTATTTGGTTTTGCTTCTATTGTGATATGCTTTTATGGTATCGGCACCAACTTATGGATAAACAATTTCCTTATACAACGTTGGTGCTACTAATTCTGCAGGTTGCTGAAATAAGTCGTGTTCTACGACCAGGAGGAGTATTTGTTGCTACCACATACATATTAGATGGTCCATTTTCCTATTTCCCTTTGCTAGGGCCTGCACGGGAGGTGGGTCTCTCTTTGGATTTTATACATGAGTTCTCATCATTGTTTCTCCTTGTTTGTAACAAACCTATCTGTCCTGCTTCCCCATTTAAAGGCTTCGAAATCTTGTGGGATGTTGGAATTAGAGTGAGCTCTAAACATAAAGCCTTTTTGAAGATACTGTGATGACTTTCCCGTGGTATAATTGACTGATTTTTTTAATGAAAATTCTATGTGCTACAGGCCATTGCTCAGTTCTCTGGAAGTCATATTTTCCTCTCCAATAAGGAACTCGAAGATCTTTGCACAACGTGCGGCCTTGTGGATTTCAAAGTTACTAGGAACAGAATGTTTGTAATGATCTCTACGGTAAAACCTCAATAGTAAATATGGCGATTCCTCACTGGCAGTCTGCCCTTCCCGGTACATTAGAAGAGACAGCTGACCCTTGGCACTTGGTTTAGTTTTTGTTTTGTTTACAGAATCATGTAAAAAATTGGACCACTTTAATGCTCGTGTGAACGTACTTGTTCTGGACTTCTCAGGGACAACCCTGGCAAAAATTGAACATTAGTATAATCCTATTCCATCTTCTATCCCAGATTAAAGTGTTGCAGTAATGAGTGTATAAAACTTTCCCCCAACTACTCTCGTCGGTTCTCCCCAACAGGCCAACACCCTAAAGCTGAAAAGGCAGGCAAAATCCTCATGCATGTTGATAAAAGTACGTGTAATCCTCTGGCAAAACCTAAATGCTACACGAAATCCAGTGTTTCTTACTTTCGAATAGGGAGTTTCAAGTGGAACATATATGGCCTCGGGAGAATAACTTTTGCGCCGATGCTTTACCTAAAACAGTTTTAGATTAGGATGGGGAACTCTTGTTTTGTGATAGAGTCCCGGATTGCATTAGCCTACTAGTAACAGCCACTACTTCGGAAAGAATACTGCGTCCCTGTAAGACTTTCGATTCTTGAAACTTCTTATCGCCAAGCTTGCAAAATGCGAGATATCCTAGCTCTTCTTTTGATTCCCCAATGATGAAGATGAGGCAATCAGGGGCTCTGGAGACAATGACCTTGCTTATGTTATCCACTAGTTGGAGCGGTGGAAGCTGCATGTCTTGCTCAGAAATAGGATTGCAAACACCTGTTTCTATGTCTTGACACACCATCCAACCATAACTCTCACACAAGGGAATCTTATTGTGCAACCAAGGAATTGATCTCGTATAATAGCTGTTATCTGTGACGCTAAAGAACGTGTGTGTCCCCTAGTTTTTACCATGAGATATCAAAAGCCATGGACAAGTTTGAGAAGCCACAGGAAGAAGATTTTTTCCGGGTTGATCATACTCTAGTGATGCTCTCCCCTCTACAGCCATAAGGGGGAAAAAAAACCAAAAAAAAATAAAAAATGAAAAGGATGAATGTCACAAAAGAGATCGTATAGTGCTAGAGGAGAAAAGAATAAGGCTAATTATAGAAACCTTTTCAAGATCTCCTCCCATAAGAGATAGGATTTTTAGGGAGTTATTTCCAATTCTCAATCTTAACGGGAAAACCATTTACGATCCTCCATCAACTTTTTTTTGGGGGGTATGAATGAGGAAAATTAGGGATAAGGGTGAGAGGTTTATTTTGTACACGTCTTCTTTTTCTTTTTCTTTTTCTTTTTTAATTATTTAACTTTAAAAGCCGATAACACGAAGTCTGATTTAATGTGAACTCCATAAAAACAGAGAGGATACGTAATTAATTTCCATAAGTCTGTTCCTCATCTCTCCTCACGTACTGCAATATATTCTTTTGTCTAATTCCATTGAAATATACAACATGAGAGAAGTCGCTGAGCTTGAAGGAGAGCAGAGGTGTTGGTCTGATCTTTCTCATGATTTGTTGGGAATGCTATTGTATTATCTTCCCCCAGAATCAAGACGCGCATTCAAGGCCACTTGTAAATCTTGGAATACTGCTCAAATTTCAGTCCCACCGCCCATCGACTCTACCATATCGGCTTACTACTACTCTTGTCCAATTCTGATGTTCGCTAATTGCTATAACTCGAGGTATAAATTTTATAATCCAATTAACCATGAGTTCTTCCATGTCAGTGCCATTGGTTTGAAAGGTGCAATCGTCCGCTGCTCAAAGTTTGGTTGGCTGTTGATGTCACTTCCAAACCTTGATGTGCTCTTCTATAATCCAATCACAAAGCAAAAAATTGAACTCCCCCGAAGCAATTTAGCTTTTACAGCGATGTGTTTCACATCTCCACCAACTTCTCCAGATTGTCAAGTTTTTGCTATTGCAAAAACAAGGAATGAGGTGAACATCATACGACATGGGGAACAATCTTGGCAACTACATTATTTTGGTATACTGAAACGTAAATTTTATTTTTCCACGCATAATCCTGTGTTCCACAACGGCTCCTTTTATTGTTTAGATGAGAGTGGTGACGTTGGTGTCTTCCACCCTGAGGTAGATGATGATGATGAATCAAAAAAATTTACTATTCATTATACCTCATTCAAAAAGACTGGGTGGAGACAATTAAGAAAAGGGAAGATACGTCAAAGTTTCTTGTTAGAAAATGACGGAAAACTATTTGGAATTTTCAATCGGATCGATAACGGTATCAATATCATGTGGTTAGATACTGAAAGTTGGAAATGGTTGGCAGTTCACGATTTGCCAAATAAAAGTTTGTTCGTTAGTCACAGTGAGTCATTTGCAATCAAAGGAATTGGTAACAGGGTGTATTTTCCAAAATTCCATGATAAGGTTGGGGTGTATTACTCTTTAGATAGGTTGAAATATTACTCTGTTGCCGGCAATTTTTCTAGCACATCATCATATGAACTAGATGAGGTTATAGAATTTGGAGTGTGGATTCGACCCAACTTTGATCTAGTACATGAGTCACAGCTTCACTGGTGATCATGTAATTGATTGTATCGTTTATTTATTTTTATTTTTTTTTGAAAAATAAAGATAAATTCATTAATTTATTAAAAATCGTCTAGATTGATAAAAGCAAGATATAACCATAAAAATACAACTTACAAACAGTCACAATGCCATTGTTGTGTTTCGCTACATGAATAAACTTATACCGATCTACTCTATAATAAAATAATAGTTGTATCACGTGCCAGATTTTTAATCCGGTCAAGAATACAACACTAACCTTCGGTTGGAACCCCCAAATCGTAAACCTAATAATAATTAGATCTATTATAACTGAATCTTCTTGGACCATGCCTGCCAAATCAACAAATACCTTCAATGAAATCGTCGCCGTCGTATCTACATACATCACCGACGAAACCGCCGCCATACTAGCAAACATCAACAAGGATGCTGTCGTCATACCTGCAACACAATTGATCTCTACGTATTGTAACTATTCTCATGGTTGTTAGTTTAAATCACAATTGATCTCTACGTGCACCTGTAACATGTTTTTATAAATTTACTATTCTGACGGGCGCCTTTATTGTCACAAATACCTCAACTTTAATTTAATTTTTTGATAATTGTTTAAATAAGATGGACAAAATAGTTAGAACTATTAAGTTTTAATAAAAATTTATTTTATTTTCAATTTTTTGGTAATTTTGTCCGTAGAGTTTTAACATTTTTTCATACCTTTAATGGAGTTTTTTTTCTTAATGAATCCTAAAACAGGTCATTGAACTATTGGGTAATTTCATGATCACTTGTCATCAATATAGTTTATTCTCAAATCAGGACCTTTTACTAAGAGCATCCACAATGGTTTACACTATTATGAGTGTAATATCATAAATGTTCAATGTCATACTTTTATTCTACTTTTCACTACATTGGTTTACACCGTAAAAGTATAATAAAATGAAATAGTTTTAGTATCATCATAAATTCACATTAATTATATTTCAACACCAAAAAGTGTATTACACGGTGTAAGAATTCTTATACTGTATAATATTATCACACTCAACGCAATGACAAACAATATAATATAGTAGTTATTTACTTATTATTTAACCCCATTGTGGATGCCCTAAGCCAAAAATCAATGTGATATCATTATGTTAGTTTTGGGCATTAAATCATGACCGAAAAATATTTTTAACGTACAAAGCATGTGAGTTGGTCCAGAGATAATTTCGTCATTTTTTTATTAAAAAAATTATTTTAATTTTTTTCAACAGTTCTTATTGCTATAGTTCCTAACTTATGTATATTGTTACTCGTATAATTATTAAATTTCAAGAATTAATTTATTGTTTCTATTTCAACTTCTAAATTATATTAAAAATTTTAAAAATTTAAAGAAATAAAGAGAAAAGACTTCGAGTTGAAGTAAACATGAAATTTAATAATTTACTGTTTTAAACAAAAAGATTAAAAAAAAAACATAAACAATTAGTTAAGACAAGTCATTTTACCGTGACTTCCTGTAATACATAAGTTGGTCATGGAGTAAAAATTTTACTCCCTTTATTTTCAAAAATTATTTTGTTCGTTGTAATTTAAATAACATAAAAATTAAACAATCATTTGAAATAGAAAAGATTCTAATTTAATTATAGTCCCACAACAACGAATTTCTATGCATTTGTCCCTACCATTTTCACTCTTATTTAGTTAATTTGGTTTGATATTATATGGAATTATTGATTTTCATGACAAAGATAAATACTTGCACTCTTTAACAATGTAATTTTTTATAACTTAGAAGTTGAAATACAAAAGGTAAATTATTTTTTGAAATTTAATAATTATATTAGTACTAATATATACAAATCAATAAGCATAATAAGAAGAATTATAACAAAAAAAAAGAAAAATAAAAAATGATAGAATTGCACCTAGACCTAAATCACATGCTTTGCAAATGAATAATAGCTCTCCGCCACATTTAACGTCCAAAATAAACAAAATGACTTCAGATAGATTTTTGGCTCAGTACAGGGTCATGTTTTAGGAATAAATTTGATTAATTACATGTGGTGAAATCACTCAATAACTTAATGACATGTTTTGATGTTTACTTCATTTTCTTTTTCACTTAGAAAATTTTGCGTGAAATCATCAAAGAATGAACTCAATATAAGTTATTGAACTGTTGGATAATTTCATCACAAGTCATTAACCATATTTATTCTCAAAACAAGACCTTGTATTAAGTCAAAAATCCATCTAAGGTCTATCTGTTAATTTTGGGTGTTAAAACAAAGTAGAGAGCTTTTCTTCACTTGCGTAGCATGCGAGTTGAATTTCGGATAATTTTCTCATTTTACATATTTTGAAATAATTTTTAAAATTTTTATCTTTTATTTTTTTTTTAATTTTTGTTGTAATGCTTCTAATTATACTTATTGACATGTACATGTTGGTAATAACATCATTATTAAATTTCAAGAAATATTTTACCTTTCATATTTCAATTTCTAGGTTATAAAAATTATAAAAAATTTACACTTTTAAAATTGCAAACATTTATCTTTATCATGAAATTTAATGACTTATTATGTAGTTTAGATGTAGAGAACAATAATAATCACTAAAAAGGAGTGAAAATGGTGAGAGACAAATTCATAGAAATTTATCGTTGTGGAATAATTAAATTATTTTTCTATTTTAAATGATTGGTTTTTTATGTTATTTAAATTACCATGATTAAAATAATTATTTTAAGATAGAGCCAGTAAAATTTGTGTTTCACGACTAATCTATGTATATAGAGAGTCAAGGAAAACCGATTTGGATTCGCTGAGTGTTTTTTTTTTTGTTTAAAATGGTAAATTATTAATTTTCATGTTTACTTTGGCACGAATTTTTCTTCTTTATATTTTTATTTAAATTTTTTTAGTAATGTAGAAGTTAAAATACAAAAGATATATTAATTCTCAAAATTTAATAATTATACAAGTACCACCGTATATAAGTTAGGAAGTATAAGAAAAAATTTTAACGTATACATGTTAGGAAGTATAAGAAAAAAATTATTAAAAAAATTAAAAATTAAAAACTAAAGTTTTCTTAAAAGAATAAAGTGATGAATTACCCACAGACCTAACTGACATATTTTTGCACGTGAAAAATAACTTTCTATCATGATTTCACAATTAAAATTAACATAATGATATCGTATAAATTTTTGGATTACTACAAGGTCCTGTTTTGGGAATTAAATTTAATCGATTATATGTGATGAAAATATGCAATACTTGAATAACTTGTTATGTGATTCACTCATCATCATAAATTATCTCCCACAGTGATTTTAGTAGAATTTGTTTTTTTAAAATGTTTTTAATAGGACTTTGTACCTGTGGAGTGTTCACATTGTCTTTTACTGCATGACGCCGTTTATTGTTTTTCCCTAAAAAAAGTCGAATTAGAACTCAATACAAAATCAAAATTTCTCTCTTTGGCAAGTGTTTCAGTGGAAATTGATTTTTATATGCATTAGTGATATGCATTTGTTTTCACATTTATAGTTAAAGCTTTTCTTAATAAAATTATCTAGTTTTGACTTGATACATTGTTCGAGGAAAAACTTTTAATCACAATGTGAAGTATCAATTTTTTTTATTTTTTATTTTTTGTGTCTTGAACGGTTGTTTTAAAATGGTCCTTTATCCATTGTGTTTTCTGCGGCTCTTCATTCATGGGTAGATTTTGACAATGGGTTGAGGAGAGATAGCGGCTTCAAGAAAGGTTTGAAAGAGTGGTGGTTTGAAGGGTTTGTGTAGATAAGAGGATGAGTTGAGTCCATTACATAATCCAGTTGCAATGCATTACTTGCTTTGATAATAGAATTTTGGACTTTTGCCCAACGAGAAAATCCTATACGAGAAAATTTTTCTGGAAATTCCATAATTCCAAGTATTATTAATTTTCGTTTATTTTTCTCGTGTATAGGTGCACCAATAGAGTATTTTATTCAGTGATTGAGTAAGGTTTCCCATATGTTTGAAATTTGAATTTTGGTAGACAAGATTTAACTATCAAGTCTAACTAGCGTTATTGTCAATACAATAATTAATTGTTGAAATAACTTATTTTATTTTTAACAAAGTTACCTTTATTTAAGTTATAAACTCTAAATTATCTCTTGTCCGATTCGTCTACCCTCATCGTCCTATTTCTTTGATAAACACATATGAAAATTGATTATATTCAATCTTGGAGGGGGAAATTTATAGGTCCACCACATTTCAATAAAGTAGTTTACTTAGTGATAATGAGTAATGTTTGTGATATATTTGAAATTTGAATTTTTGTAGACAAGATTTAACTATCAAGGCTAACTAGCTAGCGATATTGTCATTGCAACAGTTAATTGTTAAAATAAATTATTTTGTTTTTAGAAAACGCTACCTTCATTTGACTTATAAACTCTAAATTATCCGTTTTCTGGTTCGCCTTCCCGCATCATCCTCTCCCTCTGATAAACACATATGAAAATTGATAATATTCAATCTTGCCATTTCCATAATTTTGAATCAAAAGTCAACTTTTTAAACCTGTTTTATTTGCCATCAGACGTGGTCCAACTCCACCCAAATCTATATATACTATACTAAGTCAAAAACCAGAGAGAGAAAACTAAAGGCATGGAGCACATGCCACATAGGATTTAGAATGTCATTTTAAAAAAAACAAATTCCTGTAAATCCAGAGGTAATCATGTTTAAAACTGAAGTCATTACATATTTTATAAATATAAAAAATTCATGTAAAAATGTCTAAATGTGTATGCCTTCCCCGTCCATCGGACGGGTCTAAACACCTAGTTTGATCCAATATATATGCATGTTATGTTGATTGTATTTTTAGTTTTAGCTAGGAAGACAAGGAATTCTCTAAGTCTCCGTGATTTGTAGTTTAATTTAGTTATTTAGCAAAAGCGGTAGGACATGTCAGATTAATAAAATGGGTAT